GGAAAGTACTCGGCCCAGTACTTTCTGAGTACTTTTCTCCTTAAAATTTAAATTTTACACAACTGGGTCCGCCCAATGATCAAAAAAAGCTTTACTGTACTAAACTGCTACCTGGTTTTACACAATTTAGCTGAACTCAGACTTGCACGCTGGAAACCAGTCTAGAAGGAAGTTTGGCTGATCTTATTCTTGGTTGCATGGTCTTGGTCTTGGACTCGGGCATTTAAGATGCCCGACAGCTGGAATTTGTAACAACCCAGGGATGAATGGCCTTTGCGGCACAGCTGTAAGTTATCTTTCATTACTGAGGGGTGCATCTGAAAACAGACATACACCAGAATCAAGCCAGTCTGCGATAATCTAGCTTATCCTTCTGCTGAATCAAAGACTAACTCTTCAAGCGTCACCTTTGAATATCGCACGCGAGCACGAACCAGCAGAAAATATTGTGCTTCCGGAGTCACCTTTCACATCTGATGCACTGTGCATGTACGCTGCCACTTTGTCATAAGACATGTAAGGGGGCACAGAAATAATATCACGGTTCCCTTTATCTGCCCCGAGCATTAGGTGCACCCCCAAGCGGCAAAGGAAAGACAGATGGTTGTAACTTTTCCAAGCGGGTTCTTGCACGCGTTCTGCGTGTACGCAGAGACCATATATTAAGAAATAAATTCGTTACGCGTACTCAGCATGCTCCGCGTCAAACGTGCCATTGAGCTCCATTATAAACGCACGCCTATATGCAGTGAGTGCCAAAAAAACACGTCCACTTTTGTTGCACTTGGAGCGGATAAACCTAACATTTAATGCTTTGGCCTGTCATTGCTAGTACCGGTATTATCCATTCCAGTGAGACAGATGGACTAATGATCTGAGGAAATGCCCCAGCTGTGCTGGTATTACAGAAAGTAAACTGACGAATTGTGAATTTTAAAAATAAATGCAAAAAGGAAAGTCATAAAAATGATAAAAATTATACATAACCATTACAATACAAAGTCAATTAATTAAAATGAAAAAAAGAGATGAAATGAAACTAAAATGGAAGGGGTTATGTAAAAATGCACGAGACATTAAAAACATTTGTGCAATATAAGGAGTGGTTCACTTTAATTGAAAATCGGTAATCTCAACAGAAAATGTCCCTGCATCAAATCTGAAAATTCAGAGTGTTAACCGTATTGAATGTCTAAAACAAGAGCCTTTCTCACTGTTTGACAATGTAATTTAATTTGAAGGTACTTTTTCTGTGCCAATGAAGTCAAGTTTGATCTATCAGTTTTGGAGAATGTCCAAACTGTAACATTCTTAAAAACTGTACATCTTAGCTTGATGATGCTTTTTATATTTCATCTTATGCTTTTCTGGCAATTCAGAGATACGGAATTTGTGCCCCTTTCTGGAAAGAATAGTGTTGTATTTAAGTCCATCACCAGTCTTTTCACAAGCCCCTACACAAGTCCCTTCTCAAGGCCAGTCATAAAAGTAACAGGGTGAACCATAACAAAAGAATGCTTCTGTCACAGCTCATTTGAACAGCTTGTGAATTGGCTTAAGGCTGAATGACTTGTGATAGACTTATGATGAACTTAATACAGGGCCTCTCAGAGACTGGTGATGGACTTGGATACAACACTTTTCAGCATGTTTCAAAGCATAGTGCTATCACTTTTCCCTTGTAAGCAGACTGTAAAAGGTAAATGATGTATGATTTCAATGGGTCTGCTGATCGAACGAGGAAGTACCATCAACTCAATTTTGATTGATTGTGTTATTGAGGCAGTAACTCTGGATTGCCAAAAGCAAAATACAATGAAATTCTACATGTAAGCAGCGTCATGCCAAGAGTATTCTCTTTAAAATCATGCAGGTACATGTACCGTCAGTTAATATTTTGGTTTAAATTGGACAAAATTTTACTTGCATCATTTTGGGGGGGACACGATGATCCACAACTGTTTATGTTAGCTGTGTCACACATGATTTGTGGGCTGTGAACCTGTGTTAACATTCCCTTAGGAGAAAGACGACACTTGATTAAACAATGCACCTGCCACGGCCTTTTCAACTGGGGACAGAAGGGTTAGCAAAATCATTTAAAACACTGGAAATTTCATCTACTGTGGCTAGGATTCCCCGTGAAGAGTGCTCACTTGGATCAGTGACCGATACTGTATCAAATGGTGTTGGATTTCACTCACTTTGAAAGCTGTGGAAAGGCAAAACTTAGTGACAGCACAACACAAGGCTTGCAAACTGCATTCCATATTACATCTCATGGCTAAACTCATTATCTAAAAGCAAAACAACCACATTATTTGTACTTTGCATGAGGGGATCTTGGTTGCCCCACGACCAATGCGTATTATAAAATTGGCATGCATGGAAAAACATCCATTGTGAGTTTCAATTCAGTTCGACACAGGATTTTGTTTTCAAATGTCATTTATAGTGCATGCTCTTCAGGATACTAACCTGCTTACATGTACATTGAGCACCGTAGGAGTTGTTAGAAAGTTAAATGTAACTTTGTTGGGAAATTGGCCCATATTAAGTTCTTTCAACGATCAATTGGATTAAAAATGATAGCCTACCCCTACGTCAAGGCTGTTAAGATGATAACTAACCATATACTTGTAGGTGTGATCCAATAGCTACATGTACATGTATATTTGCATATGTATACATGCACCGTATGTGTACATTAGAAGAACAAAGCCAACACTGACCTCATGCAGCCAGGTAACATGAAAATCATTAGCTAATCTGCATATCAGGGAGGCCGCCTGAAGTTGCTTTCTACTCATAATTTCGCACACTACATTCAGCTTAACAACGTGGGTGCAGATATGTTGGCCACTGGTAAAGTTAGCGTATATGGACAGCTATACGACAAACTCTATGACCAAGGCCATCAAGTGGAGAAACCCATGAGTCTTTCACAAGCCCTTCCCAAGATGAGCAACAACAAAGGATTTCTTTCGTCATAGTTCACCTGACTGTGTAGCTTGTGACCTTGCCAGAGAGTACATACAGAGATGGACTGGAGACTGTCTCATACCATAAAGGGACTTGTCATGGACTTATAATTCTACTACACTGACATGCACAGGGGCCACCCCTCCCCATGGGCTTCCTGGTCAAGGATGAAGTTGTTCATGACAGTTATTTTGAGAGAGGGGATTGGGGGAGGGAGAGGGGTGCGGCTAAGAAAATTTTGAAGACCATTCTGTTGCACAGCGAACCTGCTGTCCTTCTATCAGCAAAAGTGGCATGGCATACTACCTACAGGTCAAGATGTACACGTGCGACCCCTCATCGTCCACACTTACTGCTGCATGTTGGGCCCAACTAAGGGGTTGAGTCCGGCCAGTCCTGGTATGAATAAGTGGTCTTTCATGATCATGATGTCACCGACGTTGTAACTCCTGTTCATGCCACCAGCGGCGTTGGTGATGAACAGTGTCTTGACTCCTAGTAGGTTCATCACCCGCACCGGAGCAGTGATCTTTAGGACACACAGAAAAGAGGACATTGAACAGTTTATGTTTTAGGGTTAAATTAAAATGCAAAAAAAGCCTTAAACGTTTTGTGCATGGGCACCCCCCCCCTTTATGCCAGAACTGAACAAAATTGGTCTGTATACATATGCACATGTGCCACGTACATACACCACACTTAATGCACATGTGCCTTTACAGTCCAATCGGTTTAATTAATTTGAAAAGAGATACTTTAAGCGATGCCAGTAATTGTCGGAAATACTGTAGTTTTGAAATAATACATGTTTATTGAATACAAGTCAGGCCATTACGGTTCAATGTATTCACTGCCTTTTATGCAGGAAAGTGGACAGGTGGTACAAGTCAAAACATTTTTACTACATGTGGTAATAAAAATTGGCGCATGGAGTCTTCTGCTGTTACACTGTACTATGTGAACCTACAGGTGCATCATAACCTCACATAGGCTGTGTGCACATCTGTGAGTAAACCAACTTATGATTGTATGCTGTAAAATGGTATTAGAATACAGTAATTGATTTGGATATGCATGACCCCCATTTTACGGCAAAAAGTTTGATCAAAATTTAATTTTGAGTTGTAGTTGGCGCACTTTGATTTTGCAAATCTGCTGGTTAGCTGATTTGGACTCATGAACAGAGCCATTCACTGATCAAGCGCATGTATTCTGAATTATGATGAGCATCAATGGGTTACATGCAGCTGGCAAAAAAATATCGGATATCCTGCTCAACTGCAGCTAATTTGCAAGGTGTAAAGATATCATTAACCACCAGATGCAGGAGTGATTGCTGGACACACCGTACCTGGTTCATGGGTACTCTTTTGTCCAAGAAATCAGGCATGCAACTTGGGCTTTGATCGTAAATGAGGACATTCGAATATCCACAAGACTTTGTACAATGTTTTTCAATTTTTCAAAGGCATGAGTGTGAAGTGAACAATCAGGAAATCAGCTGATCCGCGGAAGAGTCGCGTGAGAAATGCCTGATCATTTCAAGGCTTTGATCTTTTGGAATCAAATTCTGCCTAGCCACTTGATAAATCCAGAGGGAAAGCAGCGTCTGCACTTTTACTGAAACCTGACTCAACATTTTTGTCTGATATATTTTTCTCATGGGGCTCTGCCCCAGTTGTGCACTACATAAATAGGTGGGCAGGTGCCCATAATTTGACCTTATAACTGCTGAGTTATACTGCACAACTCAAGAGCTTTTTCTTTCAAAGTATCACCCATAAGGGGACTCAACGTCTTTCATGTATGTATAAGTCTGAATGAGACACCATACATATCTGTACATATACAAGCCCAATTATATTTCCATGCACATACATGTACATGTGTTTCTGCACTGTTTAACAAAGTATATGGTTTAACTGTGTTTGTACGCCAACATATAGCTCTGGTTTCCATGAACCACTTTTTGTTTCATCCAAGAGACTAGAATGTAAAATGTTCTGGTCATACATTACATTTAAAAGCTGGTACACTGGAGCAACCGATAAACAAGTATACAATTTTTGTAATATTCTAAACTCGGCAAACATTCCCACTGCAAATTTATTCAACCTGTTGAATTGGGTTATATACATGTACATAGAGGGAGAGAGAATGTGTTATGAGCCTTTTGTGCACAGCAGGGCTCCTAATACCATTGAGGGGAGCCAGATGACATTTTGATGCTGTAATGAATCACCTGTGTCAGTCTGTAAAAAAACCTTATTTGCCTGAATGAAAAGATCTTTGGGATTTACAGGCTTTTATATTCCCCCCCCCCAACAGGTGAATGTCTGCGGTAACCTGCCAAAAGGTCCTTGGCCCTGGTTTGAGGAGTGCACAGCTACCTGGTAGGGCACGGTAATGGATGCTCAGGAGGCCAGACTCAGACTTATAGAGTCCCTCCTCTATGACATCACCTTGACCCCCCTCAATCTTTCTTAACTCTATGTTCTTTTCCTACTTGAAGTTTGACTGGCTGGAAAGTTGCCAATTTATGCAAAGTATGTATGTGTGTTCAGGTGTGTCATCAAATTATAACCCTTTCCAGGCCTGTCTGGGGTGAGCCCCTTCAGTATCTCTCAAAAGGAATTGGAACTTTGGACTGAACAAGCGAGCGAGCCTGGATTAATTCCACTGGGTCTCTGTGTCACACTCTGGCAAATCACAATGAAAAGCCATTTGAGACATTCTAATTCTCTTCTTTCCAAACCACAGTAAATTCAGCCCACTGGGCAGTGGTGTATGGGGAGGGGGACACTTTACCCCCATCGGATTTTTGCACTTTTATTTTCATTTTAAAATATATTTATCAAATTTTTATTTTGATATTTACATGTATGTATCAAATATTAGCACCAAAACCCTAGGAAAACAACACCATAACATAAAATCTTGGATTTCGGGACTGTAAGGCTTTGGTAGTTTTCTCCCCCAGCATCATGTCAAATCAGCTCAAAGCCACATTCGCTTTTGAATTTGCCCCCTTGACTCCAAAAGCTGGATACGCTACTGCCACTGGGCCAAATAATCATCCAACAATGGCTAGTGTATGTTGCCTATTGTTCAACCCCCCAGTCACCAGTTTACACCAATGGGGTTGTTCTCCAAGTCCTTATATTTTAAGCAGCGAAGCAGACACAATGCGAGAGCCAAGCGTGAAGCTCTTAATTAATGGAGTGGGGTATGAGGTCCGCTTCAATATACGCCATAAGACATTTTGGACTCTAGAAGTGTTAGCTGTGGTGTAAATCTGAGGCCTTTCCTGGCCACTTTCTTCTTTTTCATTTGAATTTGCTCATATTAAATTTACACCTTCAAATGAAGGCATCATTTTTAGGAGGAGGAGAGTTTTCATCCAAAGATCATCAAAAGCATATTTTTTCAGAAAAACGTTTTTCTTACTGAACAAAACTTATCACAAAGCCAGGGTTCAGGGGTTATAGGCCCGAATAAACAAATGATCAGGTTGACTGTAAAAAGACAGAGAGAATTGAGCTTTTACTTGGATGTCTTCACATTTATAAGCTAACATACATGTAAATTTAATTTCTATTTCTATATAGCTAACTGAATATACTTGATAGTGTGTGGGTCGTGACATCCGACTGCCTTTAACCCCTTGACGACGGGAATTTCTTTCCAAAAGCCGACTCCAAGAATTCCAGCCTTGCTTGGCCACGACTTATCGGTTTGTGGCCCTGCGTGCTCTGCACGCTTTGAATTACATGGTGAAAAGGCCGATTCTTTGGTGACATGCGGCTCTATTCACCCTTCCACATTCCCGTTGCATCTTTTCAAAGTGGGGACTATTGTGAAGCTGGTGATTATGATGCAAATTCGGTCTTTTCATTTCTGGGCTACGCACAAAGACCAATTACCACATATACAAGAGCCATGGTCGCCTTCTTTCACCGTGTTCGCTAGAGCGTGGGCCGAGAATAATAGCTGAAAAGTGGGCTGAGGATCTCAATTTTTACAGCGTGTCTAGCCGCCTCCCAGCACGAGGGGGTTAATAAGAAATCCCTGTTTAGTCTGCTCAATGCAGTCAACGTTTTCTATCATCTTGGTGAGGGGCAGTCAATGTGCATACTATTATATGTTAAGTATGTTGTGTTCAGATCTGTTTGATTATAATGTTACAGAAACAATGCTGAATTTTAAGGCTGGCAAGCTCTTCACATTTGTTCCACAGTGTGCGGGAAACTTCTTCATAATTTCAAAGATTCATTGTTGTAAACTGTGAATGAGAAATTTGTTTTGGTGGGGCTGATTAAAATTTTTGCAGGGCGGTCCATCCTGTGCAGAGACCACTGATAAGTTTACCATTTTAAGCATTAAATTTGCTCGATGCCATAACTTGGGGAGACAATTTAAAAAAAAAAATAAATAAAAATTAAGAAATAAATGGGATTTATAGAAACATAAAACCTCACTCTCAAAATGTCATAAAAATCGGCATGGATGTGGCTGTTTCAAATGAAGGCAGTGCTTTGTCATTTAGAAAAGCTGTTCAATTATCCGGAAAGAGCATCCTAAAAACTCCTCCCCAAAAACACTGGATCTGTTCCAACAGTCCTTCCTCACATCAGAGAGGAAACCCAAACCTTCTGGATTTACACACCTTCCACATCGGGTAGCCTTCATAGAGATGGAAACGCCCTTTCATACACATGACTGTTTTCCCCTTCAGTCTGCCCAACACAAACTGGCCATGGTGACCCTTGACTGTTGATAAATCGTAAACATCAGCAAAGTTACAGTAACAAACATCTACGACAGAAACTTCCAAAATAAATGTGCAAAAGCCTACACAGGTCATTTTATGTCGGAAATATCGATGAAATTGAATTTAAACCATTTTTATTTGTTATGCAGGTACATGTAATTTGCATTACTTATTCGTAACTCTTGGAAATTACATGTAAAGTACTGGCATGTGTTCTGCATGGAAATATGTGTGTCTGATACACGAAAAAAATGGACCCAAGTTTTGTTGAATGTCCCACATGCATGGTGACCCATGTATATGTATGTATGTATGTGGGCACGTAATTGACAGCACAATTTTAACCAAACTCAGCTCATGAATTCAGATAATACGCAGTCCACTGGTCCAGTGGAAGGAATGTGCGCCATGCAGGCCCTTGCCGTGAGTTTAAAACTGACTCTCAACCATGTGGCGTACCTGTGCTGACAGGAAAATGAGGAATGTCCGTGTAGGGTATGGTGGTTTTGTCTTCAAGGACATCAGCAAGACCACCGAGGCCAGTGCCACAGATGATTCCCACAGTGGGTATGTGGGGAGATCGATCCTGAATCAGTTTGGCAAAGCCCTCCAATTCACTGTAGGTGTACCTGTGTATAAGGAAAAACATACATAAATAGTCACACACTGTGTCCGGTTGAGTAGGTATTACTTGCTCAAAACAGCATTGTGGCATGTTGCATGTATGTATATGCACTTTACCAATTCATATCCAAGGCACTTTCTGAAATTTCTGGTTCTGATCCTACACAATGTAAATAAATACTAATTCTACATGCACATGTACTTGGGCACGCAGCAAAAACTGGAACCAGTGTCGAGAGTACAGGCACATGCACAGGGGTGTATTCATAAAAGGGCTTGATGAGAAATGTTGAGCAGTCCAGGAAGACTTTGTTACATATCCTGACGTGACGTGACGTGACACGACTATGTTCAGGGCTTCATTTTAATAAATACGAGGACAGCTAAAAATTGCCCTCCTTAATTCACTTTGTTGATTTAAGGAGAGCGATTACAAATTGCTCTCCTTAAATCAACAAGGTGAATTAAGGGGAGCGATTTGCTCTCGCGAACAAAACCAAGTTAATGTAAACATACTCAATAAAATAAACACAACTTAACTTCTTTTACTAAGTTCAATGAGTTAATGCACCTGTCAATTGTAATCCCGGCCCAGGAACTTTCGAAAATGTAGTGGGCATGTACCCGGGGATGTCCAAAAAAAAAGTGCCCCGCCAGCATTGTCGCCACTTTCTATGGACTGCTAAATGATTAAAACATGTGTAATTTAATCTTTCAACCAAGTACATGTAGCACTGGTTACGTGTCTTTTGTTTTGGCGATACATTTCAAATCATTGGTTATCTTCTAGATCAATCTTCAATAAACGAATGAAGTGTTGTGATAATAATTGTCTCATGTGCTGGCACTGGCCATGGCCACATGTAAATAACGAGTGTTTCAATTGGTCAATTGGTCTCCACACAGCACATAACAAATTTTACTATTGGATGAATTTCCATTATTATTTCCGAGAAGTCCGCAAAGAAAGATTGTAGCGATTTGGGTCGTTGGCCCCCTGATTCCGGTACTTCAGATATGCGGACGAATGTTTCGCCAAAGTTTGGGATAATTATAGCAGCTGCCCCTTGCTTTGCTTTATTTTGGTGGCATTTTACCTGCACTTATGGCAACCGACTCGATGTCATCTTAGCAATGACCCGGAAGAGTAGGGGACTTTTAGAAATTAATGAAAGTTATTAGTTATTTATTTTTAGTTGTACGGTTGTTGCGACACAACCCCGCATGCTGGGGCAGGGATGGTGCGGGAAATGGTCACAACTTGAATGCCCAGCTGGCGAATACAAAAAAAGGTGCCCCGCCCTGGCCGGGCAAATTACGGGGACATGGCCGGGACTATCACGATGGCCCTGTTTTATCTGCCCCGCTAAGTCCCCGCTAGTCCCGGGTCCCCTGGTGCCGGGATTAAAATTGACAAGTGCATAACTTGACTAGTCTCCTCACTCGCCGACAATCCATTTCACCGCTACAGGGGCTTTGAATTTACTGCACATGTGCATCCTTTCTTTTTGGTATTTTAAAACACGTCCACTGCAGAGTGTATTCATCATTCCTTCCTGCGCTCACAATACTACTTCGACCAGTGCATTTTCGTATAAAACACCGGGCACATTACCTGCCAGAGACTTTTTTCTTTCCGGTGGCATACTTTCTGTTCTCGACAAGCAAACATTGTTCTCGCGCTCGAACCGCACGAACACGCAACAGGATCACACACCATCCGCAAGCCACTACAGGGTTTTTCACAAACTCACTTCTGCTGTTCACAAACGGCCGAGAACATCACGGTAGCGCCTGAACTCGACACGTTCTGGGAGAGAGGTCGGCCGGGCGCGGCCACGTGCGTCCATGGAATTCCACAGGCCCGCCCACATGTGCCATCATGTTTGTGTGTTGCGATGCAGGATTCATCAAGCACGCGTGCACAACTCAAAGACTTTGATCACCAGCACGTGTTTTAATACATTCAATTTGGGGACTCTTTTGCTACTGTTGACCCAACGAGATTCAAGGGGCTTGTCATAAATCAACATCTGCTGGTTTGAAAAAACCATGCATTCCTTAAATTTTTAAGGAGCACTTTTTTTGCTCTCCTTGGAAAACATTAAGGAGCGCGGATGAGCGCGAGCGCAATCGCGCTCCTTTCAAATGAAGCCCTGTATGTTGTGTGAAACATTCCGAGGTCTCTTTGGGATTTCAGGTTAGTTTGTGCACAATTGTTGAGTCATATATCCTGCAAATTATACACTGGTGCCAGAACATGACAGGATATTCAGATAACTTCTTATAATCACCAGGATAAATTCCCAAACATACATCTACCTGCACATGTACGGTACATTTCATGATGTGGCACGGTACATGTGTGTATCAGTCATGAAGTTCCTCTTTTTAGATGTGCCGGTATTTCAACGTATCAATTACACTTTTGCAAAAATGTTTCCTAGTACATCTGTACCATAATGACACTAAATAAACTACACTTCAATCAGCTTTTTTGTCATTATATTTATGGGGGGCATGTGGCCTGTGGTTAGGGTTTGTACATACACCATGTACACACCTGTACATGTGTATGTTGTCTGTCTGTCCATAGGTACAAAAGCATTTGCTTAACCAAACACCTAAATGTTGTCATTTTCTTCTTAATGTTACGTAACAATGATACTATCCATGATATTTATATTTATCTGTGACAAATGTACATTTGTGTATCTAATTTGTGTCCACAATGACAACATTGAATAAATGTCCTCCTCTAGAACACTGTACATGTAGCTTCTGAACACAGGGTCAAGGGTTCGAATCCAGCAGGTGGCAGCATATGTTGTGATCTTGGGCAAGTCACTTTACCCCTACATGTATATGTACCGTATGCGCTTTTCTACACACAGGAGTAATTTGTACAGGTGAGGGCAGATACATGTATATGTACGGTTATGTTTAGCCATTCCGGGCCTTGTTTGCAATGACGGCATCAAGCTAGTATACTCCTCAGGGAGCTGAGATGGTTTCAGGAATGTTCAGATGATGTGAGCCCAAAGTGCATGTTTAACATGGATAATGATGGTATATCGGCACCTTTGAGTGGCAGCTATTTACTGTTAGAACTTCGATACTGTGCGCCGTATAAATGCTTTGATTGGATATTATTATTATATAACAATATTAAATGCAACAAATATTTTCAGCTCTCTGATACTTGTTTTTTTTTGGGGGGGGAAAGGACGGAAGGATTCAAAATTGTATTGGAAGTCCTCCAATTCTATCACACAGCATACGAGTAAAGTTAAGGAGCTCAAGTGTTGCAAGCTTAATATACCGGTATATCAGTCCATTTGGCCCACATCATTACATTTGATCCCACTAATGTCCATGCAGTCTGAAATTGAAAGAAAAAACATGACCTGCCATAGCTGCAGCTGCCAGAAGCTCAGTGGCCAAATTGGCAGCGCTCTTGACCACTCACAAAAGAACTGATTTACATGTAAGTTACTATACATAAGCAGCCTTGAGCTGAACTTTCCATTGCAGGGTAATATGTACAGCATAGAAATTCACTTGTAGTACTGTAGACAGTGTCATCAACTGTATCCATGGCTTTAAATTTTGGAGGTCACTGGGGTACTGCACATAATAGGCACAGTGTATTTTGTCCACAGTGTCCACAATTGCATCTGGCCTGTCCATTTACCTTGTACATTGTACACCTACATATACAATGTAAATGCACACAGCTAACAGTACCCTCACCAGGATCTTATTCCAGGTACAATGTACATGTACATGTCCATCTACACACATGTAGCCTACCAGTGGCGGCACCAGACCTCGGTGGCTGTGGGTGCGAGTGAGCAGGGGCAAGGCAGAATCGCTGGGGTGCAAATGATCCTTCATTTTTTCTGGGTTATGAGGAGGAGGCATAAAAACAAAGGTTGATCGCCCTGTGGTAATATGTGGCGAAAGTTTTGTGGGCGCAAACATGGGCACAAGCTGCTTTGCAGTGGGTGTGTGCCTTTGCACCCACATGTCACCACGTAGATCCGCCACTGTAGCCTACCCTGTGAGCTTCAAATGGGTATGGTTATGAGAGGATTGGGTTTATAATTCTTCAGGCGAGGGAGAGTGAAGTTAATTGTGTTTACTGTTGGCAGTAGGGTTAACTGCTTTCACTTCAGATGAATGTCCATTATTCCTCAGTAGTCGTAAAAACCAATGAAATGCACGAATCACATCCAATCACTAGCAACTGACCACGCCCCTTAGACAACCCTATGGAAATCTGTACATTGAATTTTGTTTCGGATTGTCCCATGTCCAGTTTGTATTGGACAATAGTCAAGCTGCATACATGTACCTAAATGGTCAGTAAACATCATATGAGCCATATCCAAAATGTACATACTTCATGCAATGAAAGAATTTGAATTTACGGAAAGCATTAATTGTTTTGGAGATGAAGATACCGGTACTTAATATTCATATTCTCCTCCAGGCCTTGATCATTATGAAATTTAAATGAGTCCACAAAAATTGTTCAAGTTCAGCCATATGGATGTACCGGTACATGTACATGTAAGGTGTTACAGGTATGTGTACATGTAATTGTGACATACAATAACATCTGGTTTTACACAGTGCTGGATATAATTAAGAGAAAATCTCCATACATTTTTCCCTCCCGTCCCCTAAAATCCTCCATACAATTGAGCAATATTAAACTTTTCTCTTGGTAGGTACCAATACATGTACAAGTTGAATAGGTGCCCAGGGACCACAGAAATTATACAGAATCTTGTTTTTTTTTTACGGATCATCATCTGCTTATCCAATCTTGTCCCCCCAAATGACCTACATTGTAAGCACTGTAAACCATTGAAGCCATCATATAAAATATTTTAAGTTCCAAGACTTTGGTCGCCCCTCTAGAAAAACAGACATCTTGTGTACTCGTACATGGAAAGCATGTCAATTCAAACAAAACTTGACCCAATAAAGATAGAAAAATATCGGCCACACACATGATACACTGTTTACATGTACGGTACATGTACCGTCTATTGCTGCCAGATATGAGACAAACTTTGGATTGTTAGAGGGCTATATAAGTTAATAGGGGGATATTTACATGTATTTGACTGCCCAAATGAAGTATACTGTACACTGCACACACAAAAGAATAACTAGACTGCAAGAGGGTGCAGTTGGGAACTAGCACAGGAATGCAAACTACAGTATGAGTGTTTCTTCAGCTAGGATGTACATGTACCATGTACATGTACAGTACATATGTGAACATGACAGGGGTAATAAGGGTTGGAGTGTAATAAGCCTTTTGCGAGTTACATTTGAATAAAATCTGGTAGTCAGAGTTCTTTAAATTCCCGTGAAAAAAATATTTGAATTCTCCATACTAAAGACACTGTTGAACTACATGTACATGTATACCTCGTGATTTGGAACAATGCTATGTTACATACGAGGAGATGCGTTGCACCAATACACTGTTTTCAATGGATAAGAAGGGCACAAAGGAACCAGTCTATTCCAGAGGTGGTGGTCGCTATGCAAAAGTTTTCCCTGAATCACGAGCTACAGTATAGCAAAAGTGTCTTTAGTCTGGGGAATTCAAATTGTTGTTACGTGCAATCAGATAGCTCAGTGTACCAGATTTTATTCACATATAACTCACAAAAGGCTTAAGGAGCTTTTCCAAATGCATGTTAAACATTTGCGCCAAGCATCAGCAAAAATTGCTCTCAGGGCAATTTAGACGGGCAAATGCAACGCATACATGTACATGTATGTTACAAATGTATGTTAACATGGTTAATGGAGTAAATTTTTTTGTCTGTGAAAGTGAAACGCATGAAACCATCATGTACGCAAAGCACACCAAAAACATATGGAAAGACGACTTCACTGCAACAACCAGCTTGGCCGATATCCCTAAAACACTGAGTCAAACGTTGATTGCTTTGCAGTGTATCCCTTCACAGAGTGCCAAAAATGACTTTTGATTGCTTTGAATTCAGACCTGCAACTAAACAATGTATCACTTCACTTGATCTACATGTACCAACAAACCTCTATGTGTAACTCTCACTTTGCCTACAGTTTGTATGGGCAGCCAAAGTTTGCATAAAAATCACCCTTCAGTTGGTTTTCCATTTACCTCAAACTCGTTCAAAATGTACATTTGTCCCATTAATTTTTAGAGTGGTTGAAGTTTCATTTAGCATTCTGTAGCACGTGCATTCTTTTCTGGTGTTTTGATAGCTGTGTGGGATTTTTACCGCTTTGTGAAATCTCTTATTTTTGCACTGACGGCAGGAAAAACATGACTGTGACGTAAATAGAGCAAAGCCCATTGCTTTGGGAAAATTCCAATGATTATCAAGCCCCAATGAAAATAACAGGGTCTTTGCTGTGCCTTCCTAAGTCCTGCAAAATCATCAGAAACATTTGAAAGGATTTAAGTTAGAAGGGTAATGGGTGATCCTACATTATTGCTCTCTAAATGACCTACCAGTATGGTCTTTTCAGTTTGCTTGTGCTTTTTCATGAACAAAATAAAATGCCAAATTCCTTCCTGGTGAATGTCCATGCATGTTACAGTGTATGTGACTTTCCAATGGCTGCACAATTACTATAGAAGTAAGACTTCTCCATCCACAAGTTACAATACACTTCTGCCTCACACGATGCCCCTTGCCCACCCCAAATTAAAAAGAAAATAATATCACGGACACTACATGTATCTGCTCAACAGGTCAGGAATTGAAATCCTGTTTCAAGCAAAATCAAAATAACGCAAATTTCAATTTTGAATGAATCAGAGTAAGGAAAGCGACTCTCTTTTTACTGATTGTTCTTTTTTCAAGATGGGGAGATTGAAAAAAAAAATCTAAGATATTAACATTACTTGAGCTACATTGTTCATGTAGTAACATAGCCACATAACACATACTGGACTTCAATACCGCATGTCCCTACATGTCCATGTATGTACTGTATCACTGTGCATGCATACATTTTTCAAATAGTGCTGCTGTTGCAAGTGGGAGTGGGTGATATGACACTTGTGTATATTTATTATTTGGTTAGCTTGGAATTCTAAGGTGCTTTTAAGACAAAAAATCTAACATATTCAGAAGCACTGGCTGTACACGTGTGCAGTAGTGGGCAACATGAAATTTATATTTCATTTGACTTCTTACAGGTGGGCGTTTCATGTCCAAATAATTACTCTGTTTGATTTCTTGTACGTGCAACTTGTAACAGAGAACATGCCTGAAATCTAACGGTGGTGTACATGCACACTAACTTGGTGGTACGGTAATAATTAGGCCAAACCCAAAAAATAGCTGTGTTTCCGGTTACCCGACCCAACCTAGAAAATCACGCAGAACCTATATCTTTCTATTAGACAAATCAATAAAATATAATACTTATGGTGCCTTGCCCTGAGCCTATAATTTTGTGTACATCGTCCTGTACATTGCATTGTTTTAATTATTTTTGCATGAGATGGATGGCTCTTGTGTGTTTGTAATTTTAACAACCAGCTGCTTTACTACTCAATCACAGCGCTGATATGTAATATTGACGTGCACATGTACAGTATTAATTTGACATGGACTTAGTACCTGTTTCAAATATACGCCCACCCCAAAAAATTTACAGACCATCATCCGACCCTAATTTTTTGGGGCTATAAAAATTTAGAGTAAAAAAAAAATTTACCCAACCAACCACCTTAATTCATTTTTCAGTAACAGGAAACACAACTAATTTTTTGTTTGGCCTTATAAAAGGGAAAGTATTTACGGAGAATGCGGTTCTAGCTAGACAGAAAGAGGAACTGAGCTGTTGACTGGTTGACATGTTAATTTGGTTTTGGCCCTCACACAGGTTCAACTCATACACTGACCATTTTGTCGGCACTAAACTATGGCTTCATTTTGATCAGATACTATTATAAACTGAAGCACTTCAACAAAACTGACGCCTCTCTTTATTTCTCATTTGAAGGACTGCATTTTTCATAGTCTAGGACAATGGGTAGGAACGAAGAAACATAAAATTTGCCTGTTATTAAACTGTCACTGCACTGGACCTTGTTTAGTAGGGGCATACATGTACATACGTAAGACACGCTCTTATAGGAGAAAATTGGTGGTGTTCTGTACTGTCTTTCATAGCAGTGATGCCAACCTTTAGTGGAATCCGGTGAAATCACTTCTCTTTAGGCCTATGATCTTTCCACAGGATTTCAACATTAGCTATTTTAGTGGAGTACGAGGCCAGTTAAAATTCTTTTTTAGAAGCTCACACTGTTGAGAATGAAAAGCGAGTTTATCCAATCTTACAAAAGCCAGCTTCTTCACTTCCAAAGTGAGAAGTAAATTGTTGGGCAAAAGGAAACAGTTCCATATACAAACATCACTAACTTTCCCTTAAAATGCTACAACAGCCATTAGAAAGTGATAACATGTCCTAAAAAGTGAAATTTAGCTGGAAGAATTCCCAAACATTTACTTAGAAAACACTTAGGTTTTTCAACTTCCAGCACTGTAAGGTTTATACAAACCAACAGCCATGTACATTGTACAAACTCCCATAAACACAATTTGGCTGTTTTGATTGTGTCAACTTACTCTTTCATCACAGCTATTTTTGCAACCAATTTCAAACCTTACCTTACAGTTCTGGAAGTAGGTTTTTTCAGGCAAGTCTCAGTCACAGGTTTGTGCAAAAAAGCATCAAGTTTTGTCCGTACATGGAACTCGTTCCAGGCAAAATACCAGTCTTCTAACTTTATATTTATTATTATTCTTAAAAAAAATATTGCAGGGATTAAATCCGTTAACTACGTACATTTTGGTCACAGTGCCAGGACCATTAAAGCCAGTCTATTCTTGTATGAATAACTTGGACTCTACGAATCGCCTTTTTAAAAATTTGGACGTGTTTAAAAAGGCAATTTGTAGACTCCAAGTTACTCGGACTATGTCTATTCAATCATGTACTGTACTGTAGGCCTAGGGCTACTTCTGTAAGTGTAACTGTCTAGTCATTCCACACACAGTGCGTTTCTCAGAAGATTGCGTGGATGTGTCTTGGAAGACATTCTGCTGACCAAACCATTCAGATTCAGAACTGTCGCCTTTCATGCTCAAACTTTGTGAGGTCAGACTGGGCCTAGTCAATTATTGCTAGTATTAGAAAACTGAACGTAATAAAATGGACAGAAATTAACAACGTGTTCCCTTTCCTTCTATCTGAGGTAAGCTCTTTACTTTAAATGCTATTGCTAGTCTTACATTGGCATTCCATTAGGGGTTGTCGCCATGGTACTGACGTATTGTTTAGCCTGCAGGTGTATATTGACTGCTGCTTCGTCGCGTAGGTCTACTGTTGTTGTGTTGATGGGTCTTCTGGTCTTGGGCTTCCGACACCGCGTTTCGAGATCGATTCCACAATTTGTCTCTACGACGAAAAACCTAAAATATCGTATTACGATACGATGAGACGTGCTCTTTGTTCACAAGCAGAAGACAAACTAGCATCTGAAATTTGTATGTGCGAACTCGTCGTCGTTCTCACTGCAGTGAACTATGAGTGTAACCGGCGCGAAGTGTTTTGGTATTGCTTCAGACTGGTTCCCTCGCGTGTTTCTGAAGAAGGTCATAACGAATGTAATATATTTCATCATAAGAGGAGTCTGGACATCTGATGTGGTGTGTGGCCTTTCTCAGTGTTTGACGTTATGAATGAAATAAGTGACGTCACGACACACCTCCAGAGAACTGATGAGGGAAGCTACATTGCAACCGGGGGTGCATGCCGTAGTGATCGATGTATTAAGCGATTATCTATCGTGACGATAAAGTGACGATCGAGCTCACTGACATGAAAAGTGCCCCCTTCTGTTGAAAAAATGAGATGTTTTGGCTGAAAACAATGGGTGGATCGTGCAAACGTAGCCCATGATCAACTACATGCACATTGACAAGAATCATAATACCAGAGCACTGATTTGATATTATTTTCTTGTCGATATTCTAATCACGGTGATACGTAGCCCTTCCATATTTCTCTGATCAACTACATGCAGATGTTTTGGGCTTCCAACTTGAGTGACAGCAGAGTTCAAGTTATGGTTGAAAACTTTTGGCCTTATTGCTCGAGAACGGTGGGGGATACCATCGTTCATATAAATGTCAGCTTTCCCCGGTCAAGTACTCACTTTTTTCTGAGCTGGAGGAAGTTGTTTTAGTGGGATATACTAAAAATATAATTGGCTAGCCAACCATAAATTGAAAAGAAATGGAAAGATGAAGTACAAGACTAATGTAATTTGTTTCAGAGAATATGTCGACTTGCTTCTAACTTGCCCTGACCGTCACATTATTTTCAATGGGGTCTGAATGATTACCGTATATCCGTACTTTGATTGGAATGGCACGGTGATTCAGCAGATTTGCGAAGTACGCTACAATGACTTTTGGACGTCGGACAGGAAATTTGCATACTATTTACCGCCATACACAACTTTTCACGTGCGTACGAGAATATATAGTTTCACTTGAATACATGTTAATGAAAATGATCACGTACGTATACGTAGTACGTGAAACTGCGTACGCGCGTGAAAAAAACCGTGACACTTAGTAATGTTCAGGACGGTAATGCGTTTCCGCACTTTTGCACGCAAGCCATGTTAATTTTTTTGACATCTTGGTTATAAAGCTCTTTAAAATCTTTGTGTTTTGTAGGAGAATTTTAAAAACCAATGAATAGAACTGGCGGTAATTCATAGTTTTATATCACAACATCGTGACAACTAATAACCGTTACAAGCATAGAAGCTTAATAGGATGCGGATTGCAGAGAGAGTACTCAGTGAAAAATACTTCAGGATATGTGGCTGGTATACATGTACATGTACACAGAATCGTCACGGTCATATGGGGCCGGAAAGTACCGTCGTACGCTCGAAATGCCGACTTTTCAGACCCCTCCCCTTGTACCCATGGTTCCCGTACGTATGGTGTACACAGTGCTCCAAGACCCCCCCCCCCCNCCCCCCCCCCCGCCTGTACGTATATGTATTCCACGAGAAGACGCTGCCGGTCTTTGGGTCATGAGTAATGTTGCAGTTTACTAATAATTGGCGTTGACACGGGAGGATAAATGGTGAGGTGGACGGTGGAGAATGTTTGAATTTCGACGCACAAAAGCTGATTCTGGTAATTATATGAGAAAGTGTATTGATACGATGAAGATTCATTAAGGGCAAACTTTGAGTTTGCGCACGGTATGCACTGGCTTGACCCCCCCCCCCTGTACGCAGGGTGTAGGCAACGGCACCAACCCCCTCCCCCTTCATGCATAAGTCACGGTAGTTTATGAACGGCCCCATCACAAATGACCTCCGCTGTTACAAAATTAATTGAACACGAGGGGGCGCTGTTAACTGAATGATTGTTCTTGAATTTATGTACCCTGGGCCCTTTTCCAATACTCGACTTGGGCTACGTCGGAGGCTTCGCTTCCAAAACCAATCCCCGATTGTGGGCCTGAAGCGTTCAGATCAAATTGGATTACTGTAATTTCTGGCTCTCTTGCATCTTTATTTGATGTTTTGTGGCACTATTAAACTAATTAGTGCGCTTACAGCTTCAAAGTCAGCTAGTTAAAAAACAGTTGAAGCCTGAGACGGAGCCGAATTGAGTATTGGAAAACGGCCCTGTATATGTGAAAAGGAGACTCCCAAACACAGGCGTCAAGTATTATTACAAAACAAAAACAAATATTAGTGCTTACACTGCTTCATTGATTGGAGAGCTGTACTAGTGGGAGCAAATTCATCAACTAGCCACGTGATAAAAGCCCAGTGGGTTTTAAAAGTTGGATCTGTGTCCTTGCTCTATGGACATGATGGATAACACCATGGAGGAATGGATAAGCCATAGAGCAAGGATCTGTTCCTTGCCCTATGGATAAACTTTCATAAATAAGTCATTAGATAAATGCAAGAGTTTCCAGATACACAGATTCGGCTTTTGTTCCATCCAGCCATTTTGCAGCAGCCCATGGGCTAGGGGATCTACATTCTATAACCTGCGGAGTGAACACGGTAAAAGTGCCCCTTTTCTTGTTTTTGTATCGGCGAGTCACCCTGACAGGTAACTTAAATGGCTAAATTAAATACTTCATTGTTTGAAACGTGTAAAAAGCCAAAGCACAAGGCAAGAAAAAATCATTAGGAAAATAAAGTGGGCAAAACGCATGAACCTCTTTTTCTTTACTTGGCCTATCTTATTTTAGTTAATTTCACTTAATGTGTTGGTTAATGGAGACTGCCAGTTGCCATTTCCGGGCCCACTATTGTATTTCAGAGACAATTTGAATTACAAACCAAAAAATGTCACCTTAATCCAATTTTCTTATTTGGCCTTTTTTCTGGACATGGATAGTACTTCTTTTGACTGGTTCACAGAAGACATCGAGGAAAACAGCGATGACAGATAAAGAAAAAAACATATATACAGTACATGAATATGAACTAGCAAGAGTAATTCTTGTCCCATTTGGAGAATTTTATTTCTCAATTTTAGTTTCTTTGAAACAATTACATTTTCCATAAATTAACAATAACAGTGCATTTACATCATGGCTATCCTGGTTCTGCATTTCGTGTTTTAAGCATTCACTCTCCTTTCAACTCGTGGTATGCTTTTTACTATTAAATTAAAAAACATCAGGGACACATGGCAGAAATCTCCAAGTTAATTAAATATTACATGTACTGGATTTTACAATTCCACCTAACACACTTATTTCAGCTGTTGGGGGGAAAAAGGCTGCAATAAAGGTAGTGCCAAAACAATTCATTATATTCTGGTGAGCATGAAAGGTACATATCAATGGTCAGGCAGTAACACCTGTTATACATATGAAGTGTGGACATTCCTTTGTTCTCCTGTGGTTAAGGTAAATGCTCCTTATCCCACTAGGATAACTCTTGGGTTCCAGCTGGATTTTTGATGATGATTTCCTGGCCAGTTCCTCTTCATTTTGCCACAGATAACCTTGACCCCAAAACTGCCTCTGAAACTTTTTTTCAGAGAGGGGAAACCTTGTGTGGACATGTGCAAGTCCACACAATGCCATCATACCCTGTATTATGTGGACTTCTTTTGTGCAGAGGTCTACACTATGTATGACACGCCTGTGCAGTCATCTTTCCATCTGTAGTTTGCGTCAGCTAGTTGCGATGGTGCTCATGTGACACTCCCTATGTATCATAGCCTTCCCTTTACTCAGATTTGTAACAAGGGTTGAGTGGAGGGCAGCCACGAACCTAACTTCCTTTGATACAGCTCGCCACGCTATTGGAGTAAAGAATGGAATACAACTTATTCTTTAACTGCTGTACTTATAAAAGTAACCATTGCTGTTCAACTGTGCATGACAGTGGGCAAATTCCATTGTTTCCAGCTACAAGGCGCACATACCTGGACATTTTTTTGTGGCTTTGAACTTTCCCGCAGCGCACCCTCAAGACACACTGTGTCCACTTTCCACATTGAAGCTTCAAAATGATCAATAATCGAATAAATATATATGCAATTCATGTCCACAAACTGAACTTCACTGGAACAAAACGACAAACTTCACTAACTAGGCTATATACACGAATTGCACTTGCTATTCTTTGGAATGTCCCCGAGTACTTTGTGGAAGCGCAGTTCTCAACATGCACTGAAGCTGATACCAACAATAGATGTATTCAGGATGAAGTGACACTTTTAATCAACACATGTAGATGATAATCCAACCATTTGTTCTCCGCACTGACATGCACTTTAAGTACAGCTGTGTAAGCATTTGACAAAAATTTCTTTTCCCTGCCCCCCCATAATAATAATAAAAAAAATTTCTGACAGATCCTAGGCAGTGGAAAATGCTCCCTGCTTGCCCTAACAAAACTGTACCTCATCAGACTTACGTGTATAGTATGCGCGCTCACTACTCGCAATCAGTGGCACCACACTGCTTGGTTGGCTTGGGTGACTGCCATACTCAATACCGTACAATCAATTCTCAACTTCAAGAGTAATGGTTTGAGACCGTGACTTCGTACATGTACTAACCAGTGTTGTATTTGAGTCCATCACAAGTCCTTTCACAAGTAGTCCAGACACAAGTCCCTTCAAAAGACCAGTCATAAGGAATAGGGTGAACAATGACAAAAGAATGCTTTTGTCACAGCTCATTTGAATAGCTTGTAATGGACTTACAGGGACTAGCAACGGACTGGAATACAACACTGGTAGCCACTTCAAATTACATTGTATTTAGTGTTGATTCCTTGCAGTGCCAATTAATGAATTTTAAACATGGGCCGACTTGCAACATTCAACAAAGATGAGGCTCTCGAGAATAGAAACTTCCAGTATTGCATTTTCGCCAAGGATTCCCTCCATTTTCTTTTCGTCTTTTTATCTTTTGACTTCAAAGTGACCGGTAAGCCTCTGATGGAATTCAAATAATTCTAAACATTTGGGAACCGCTCAAGCCTACACTACTTCCCTTCCAATACTGTACCATTCATGTACACTGAGAATTTAAACTGATCGATTAAAATCCAACTACATGTATGGATGACGCACTGAAAGTTATTGAAAAGACAAAAAGTATGTAAACCTGGTATTAAGGTGGAATGGTCAGCCACATGCAAACTTTGTGAGTCATTATAACAAATGACAAATACCTGGCTAGCTCTTACCTCCTGTTGAAAAATCAGCCAATATTGCAACTAAGTTACACAATGTACATTTGTACATGTACAGTACATGTTATTAACATACCGGTATGCCAGTTACCAAAAGTTATAATTGCCCCCCCCCCCCAAAAAAATAAACCCTGTCAATATCTCCCCCCCAAAGGTTACCCCTTTCAATAAATCACTCTTCAGTTAGGAGACCAACACACTTGACATTTCCTGTGCCCTTTGTAAAAATGCACACACATGCAACTCATCACGACAGTACGCCCTCATACCTTCTACTGACACTATTCAAAGTTCAAACACTCATGTACTGTAACACCTGTCTTGTGTATTGGACAAATGCCATCAGTACAATCTAATAACAAATTAATAATCAATTTCCAGTTTCAGCCCTCAAATTTTCCACATGCTCCAACTACATGAACATGTGGCCAGCCTGATGGAGATTTTGGAATCCCCTACAGCTGATTATTAACAGTCCACATGTACACATTATAAGTGAATCATATAAAAACATAACACATTCTGAAATAAATATTCTTATATTGTGTTGAAATAAATAAAACTGTCAAAATATACATACATGTACATATTACCAAAGTCAAGCAATTTTTCACAACCCCCCCCCCCAAAAAAACAGGCAGAGTTACATTTGTACATCATGTTAGCCAGGATGTAATACTGTTTCCTCCGTGATAAAGACACTGCATGGAGCAACATGTGCATGTTGGTAACATTCTTTCAAGTCCATGTATTGTGGATAGTAACCGATTTCCATGCACATGTCGTGAATGTGCACATGTACGGTGCATGTATGCCTCAGTCAGTTGGTACACTTGATCTTATCCACATTGTCATGTGCACTCCTTTTTAGTTCGTTCATCTGAACTAACAAACTGCTCAAATCCTCCATCTTGTTTTCCTGCTCAATGTAGGCTTGGCATTTAAACTCATTGTACATTGCACAAGCAGAGCACAAGCTTCCTGGACTAGGATGGTAAGACAAAAGTTAGTTTGTGTCAATAGATTGAAAGATTTGATTCAAACTTGTTTACAATTAGACATATCGAGGTGTACATGTACAGGTATTTGTTTACTCCGAAAATAAGATAACATTTCAATATGTGAACAGTTTTTAGGACATCAGCACCATCTTCATGAAACTACCAAAAATATATAACAGTTAAGATACACTTACAAGTATGTGGATTATCTACAAGTATGGCTACAGTGGCTTGTCTTTCAACAAAACGTGGGGCAGGTCTAAGGGCAGGTGCGCAGCCTTTTTAAAAACTGTCAGAAAACAAAGAATACCTGAAAATGGCGCAGTGCAAATCTGCGATAGCTGATGTTATGAAATTAGCTTACATGTACCTGACAGGTGCTTTTGAAAGCATTTGGCTGCCGGAAATACCCTTTTGCAACCAAATACATGTACTTATTTTAGAACTTGACTTGGTGATGTGTGGAAAAAGATCAGTACATATCAACAGCATTGTACATGTTGTAAGGACTGGGCACAAAAGCTGAAAAATAAAAAAAAATATCACTCCTCAATCGAAAATAGAGACAATTAACAAATTCACAAAATGAATGGGATTAGCTGACGCAAATGAAATGACAATTTCCACATATGTAAAAAATACTTGCAAGAGAACTAATTTCTTTTGACGTGTGAACTATGAAATCATTGACAGGGGCTATTCAATACGACAGATAAGGCATTTTTTTTACACATGCATGTGCGACAAACAAACATGGAATTGGGACCATGAACACCTTCAGCTGTAAACTGCTATCAACACTTATTAAGTGCCATATTGATGCTGCATTCTGTGCACATTCAGCTGAAAATTGGTTATGCACACTATGCCACGAACACAACTGGAGCATGCAGGTGTCCTACATGTACATGTACTTACTACTATCTAACTCGTATTTCTTGGCTCTTGTAAGTTACAGAGCAAGCACGTAGGCCTACCGGTAAAGTTCCCACCTGGTGCTCTTACAAACATACATCCTAACAAGTTTGACAAATTACAGCTTGTCAAAAGCTTATCTCTTGCCTACATCCACTTGACAACAAACAAACAAACCATTACATGCTTCCGTTTCTGATGTACCAGTGCATCAGCACCACTGCAGGTGGCGGTACTTACTACATACCGGTATTAATAAGAAGTTTATGAATCCAGTTTGTGGATTCTGACAACGTAAACCATGGCTGCTCGCATGGCAAAGCACTGAAACCGGTAGCACAAAAAGGCATCCAACCAATAGACACTAGCAATCAGTGGTGCATGACTGTGCTAATGCATGACCTACTGCTTGCTTAGATCTGTTAAACATATGCAGCAAAATTATGAGACAAATTTGCACGTGACTGTAAACTTTGACTTCCTTAGAATTGATCTACGTACGGTATTCATATTATGAGAACAGTCGTAACATTTAATTCAAGTTTGGGCAAATCATACTACATGTGCTAGTCAGCTACATGGACGTAGCCAGTCTATTTCTTGGCAGCCTGCAATTAGGCAAGGACCATGTGCGTCAGCATTGTGTGTGAGGTACATGTACATGTATGGCCAAAACAATTTACAGGGCACTACAGTGTACTTCTGAAGCCTTTTTAAATTTCATTGCTGATCTTAAAGTGCAACCATACTGTGGATAACTGTCATGTGCAATTGACAAAATTCAATGCCATTTAACGCTAATTATGCAGAATAATAATGGAAAGATTCAGAGTTTGCATTGTTGAACATTGGGACTAAATTACAGTCCATTTTTTTCACTGTCTTATACTATCTGACTCTTACTTTATGAAGTGTTGTTTGCATGTGTGTAGTGGTTAACAACAACTAGGCAAATAACATGGGAACTTTTTATAAAATATACATGTATTGTATCTTGCATAAAGTGTTTCATTCTGAAAAGTTAGATTCGGTATGTGTATGAGCACATATTGCATAATAGCATACAGTTTTGACTAGAGTAAGAAGTTCTTGATGACAGCCTGTATGGATCTACGACAAACGGGACACGGTTTCCCTCGATGATGGAGTTTCTTTGCACAAGGGTAACAGCAGACTTGGTGACCGGTGCGCCCGTGAATGATACTAGCCGTTTTCGGTCGAGTATAACAAATAATGCACAAGTCGTTGTAGTGTTTGGTTACAACATTTGCGGGTGCGGATGAGGGGCCAGCCCCGGGATCACTCTTCTCGGTCTGCAGAGAATGTGGCACGGCTCCCTTCCCCACATGCGGAATGGAAGAGGCGCTACACTTGAATGTTTTCAGCAGGCTGAGGGAGAGTCCATTTTGCTCAGGAAGGTCTGAGCCAGATGCTGATCGCTGTCTCTTTCTCGGTGGGTGGCTGCTTTTATTCTTTAGTTGGCTTTTCGAAGGACATTCAGAACTGGCAGCTGGCACTGTTGATGATGTGCTGAAGCTGAGATTGTTAGTTTTCATGCTCTCTTGGGTCAAACCAATTCCGGAGTCTTCCCTTTGCTGAATGCCTGCTTGTGTGTTTCGTGACTCCTCCACTTCCGACTGTATGTCTGAATCCACTTGCTGACCAGGTGAATCCTGCGTGATGAGGACAGTATCTTGGGAGTTGTCTCCTTGCTCGTCGCTGACTTGCTGGTGTTTACGTTCTCCAGACCTTGTGACACCCGTGCCTGCTTCGTCTTCACTATCATTCTTCCCATCAGTCATGTCCCCATCCAGGTCAGGGGTCATGCCATCAGCGAAGTCACGTGACAATCTAGGCAGCTCTTGGCTGGGCTCGGTGATGCAGAGATCAACATTCTGAGGATCCTGCATCGGTGAAGTTGGCCTGATTTCAACTGGCAGGGCACCAGTTGTCACACTGCCGGCAGCACATGGAGTCTGTGCTGGGCACCAGGGAGACAGTGGGTTGGTATTTCCGGCAGGGGCTGAGAAAGATCTCCGTAGGGGCCGGTTAGAATTTTGTAGTCTTTCTTTCAGGGTCATTCTCTGGTTGTCGGGCAACCAGCCTTTGCGTAGGGCCCAGCAGCGGCTGCAATAACGCTTGAATGGAGAGTTGCGCATGCTGCACTCGGTGCACTCCCACTTGTCCATGTCCGAAATCTCAGTATCAGTGGTGTCCTCATCACTATTGTCGGCAAAGTGTGAGTCACCACTGTCTTCCCCTTGCAAAAGAACATCATACACCATTTCGGTACCACTGCTGTCATCATCGGAGCTGCCTTTATTAATGGTATAATCATCACTGGAGTCAGATGGTACTTCGTACTCGACTGGTGTTCCCTCATCCTCGTCCACAAACCACAGGTCATCAGACGAATCGGCAACAATGGCTGTATCACAGTCCTGAATACTGAGAACCTCACTGCCTTGAGACCGCAGTTCCTCGCTGGGATGGTACAGCACACAGTACCAAGGTCGGTTGGCAACTTTGTCAGTCTCTGAGAAGGATGATGTGTTTTGACGACTGGTCATGTGTGCGTAGTCTTCAGAGGAATCGGAGGTTAGCCGGTTCTGTTTTCGTTTGTGCCCACGACTGAATGGTGACCGCACCATGGACAGTCCTGGGGCAACTGGTGCTGATGGAGTTGGCAAGTCCGAGGCAAGCGGGGCCTCAGTAACAAGGCTCACTTTGCTCTGTGATGCTGTGACAGTGCACGGAGTCGATGTTGATCTCTTCGACATGGTCTCCTTCACTAGCGAGATCTTGGGTGTCGCCAGTGGAGCCTGGATATGTTGTCTGATGGCACTAGGAGTAACTGTACAGGGCATTTGATCACTCAGTGGTATCCTTGCACTGCCAATGTTTAACTCCGATGAAAATGGGGATTCCTTTGGAGCTGAGGTGACAGACACTGACGAGAGGTCACGATTAGATTGAAGTGGCCTGGTTACATGTGCACCATCAGAGAGATCCTCTCCTCTGAAAGCAGCCGATTCAGTGAAACTGGCTTCCCCACTGGTCCTTTTCATTGCAGAGAGTGATTTACTGGTGCTATCCACTTGTTTCAGCCTGTGTGTTGCCGATGGCAAAGAGTGGGGAGAGGGGGCGGTGGCTGAACGTGTTGGGACAGCAGATGGTCTTGCAACATCTGTTTGTTGCGCCTGATGAAATGTGTAGTACAGTGTACGCTGCTGTCTCTGAAATGCATCATTGTGTTGTGTTTGAAAGTCTGGGGACTCTCTCAACACTGACATGTTCTCAAAAAGCAGTTTTCTTGCATCTTTTATTGTGAATGTCGGAACACCAAACACCTTACCCAATGGATCTTTCTCACAGTAAACTCTTTTTGGGTCTTGCTGGACATACAGTTGGCGACTGCTAATGTATTTAATGAGATAAGACAGCACTTGCCTGGCCGTAAGAACTGGTCCTTGAGCCCCGACTGTCTGAAGCAATTCCATGAACTTGGGCTTTGGCTGCACGAGGATGTCTCTGCTCGGGAGTTTATGTTCAGGCCGTAGCTCACTTGCGAGAACAGTTGCCATAGCGATTGCCGCCTCCTCACGGGATGGTGCTTTGGATGACGATGTGGCAATGATGGTTGGCATGGTTGGCCTACAGGTAGCTGTTGTGACCTCTACCGAGGAACTATGGGAACTGGAAGACCGTTTTTGGTCCCCATTATGATGACAGTGTTTTGACCGCCGCCGTTTTTTGGAGACTGGCGTTTCACTTTCCATCTTGCCCAAAATGTTCTGCAATAAAAAATACAAGTGCAAATGACGATGCCGTACATAAACGAGTGCGCCTGATCCATAGATCTGTCTCTTACAAGTATGATATGCATATGCCAACAATAAAACGCGCTAGGTCGAAGACCGTAATGATATTTACCGTGTTCCAACAAGTCTGCAGTAGGCATGTTCAAACTTGCCCGTAGATGAACGTGTAGATCGGTGTATACAGCAATATTAAATACTACGTGGTAAATGCGGGGGTGTTCCTGATTCAGTGGCACTGCGCCAAAATCTTACTCTAGTCTAGACATGCTAGATGGAAAACATCGACCCAGACATGTTTTTGACGATACTGCCGACTTGTAACAAATAATACGTCATTTCAGAGACAAGAGGCAGACGTTTTGTGATGAAAATGTTTGCAGAAACAAACATCGATCAGATAGCCTCGGCGCTGGTGCGCGACATCATATTTCTCATTGTTACGGACACGCCATGACTAGCCAAAAACCCGGATAATGAAGTGCGTGGGTACCAGGCACTGATATTTGGACAAGTTTTACATGCACGCGGCTGGAAATTCCGTAAAGGTTCAGCAACTTTAGCTTTTGAAATATTTGCACTAAAAAATAATGGTAACCTATACGACAGAGGTTATTTCAACCATTTGTGTAAACATGACACGACACAGTGTACTGAATTTTTTTTTTTACATCTTCGGACACTGCAACAACATGTATTGGCGCCACCGTGGATCCTGGGAATGACAATGATGGAATACCATGTCATTACTTGAACATGCATGGAGAACATGCTTGGACTTGAATGAAACTTTCTAAATATACAGAAATATCTGGAAGTAGGAAATCGAAGGAGACTGTGCACATTCCACTGGGTGCATTGGAGGGCATACCGGTATGCCCTTTATCGCGTAGTGAGTTAGTAAATTCTCAAGAAGGTGACGTTAACGTTAATGGTTAAACCAGTGGCGTGGCTTAATTACTGCGGGGGGGGGGTACGAAGGGCACCAGCTTTCAGTGGTGTGGTTTAATATTTTGAGGCATTAACCGTTTGTTAGCCTTGTTCGATATCCATTCATCCGTTTTTAGTGGGGAGGGGGGGGGAAGACGTGGCTACGCCCCTGTGTTAAACGTCGGGCAGTGTTGATCTCTTCTCTACATTTTTGCAAGCTGAAAAAGAACAGCAAAGACTTTAAATAAAGATCTCTAAATGAGTGTTATGCCATCCCATATTTATGCACATTGCCTCGGATTTTGTTTCATTATTGTCTATATTAGCCATTGCCTAGTTACATGCAACTTAATGCACAGGGAGGGGAACAAGAACATTCTTATATTCTCATCCCCCATGGTCGTACGGTCAGTAGTCGGTTCGTCCGTACATAACACTGTACATGTACATGTACAATACATGCATGATATACGCTTGCAGTACACTCATCCTCCTTAGATAGAGCATGGAGGTAGAATGACTGGTTTATCCATATTTATCAGTGGGTTTCGGGCATACAATTTCTTTTTCAAGTGGCTAAAAACCACACACGTCCGCACAGGAGCAAATCCCACATTTATAATATGAGCTATAGCTAAGAATGTTTCACATATGACGGGGAGGGAGTGATGGCGGGGACACTTATTTGGCAGCGCTTGAGAATAATATGTGCCAAGGCCGTGTCCGAAATTATCTCTTATGGCTACGTCTCTTGGAATGCCTTACACTATACTATACTAGCGCTTAACTGAGCTAGCCGCGCCTGGCGCGCGCCTGCGGATCAGAGTCACGTGTTAAGCTCAAACAGGTCATCTGAGGTCAGATAAAAAATGGCGATCGGCAACTAACACTGAACAACACCATGAACAAGCATAGGCAAGAACAAGAAGGCAGCATGTAAGTGAACGACAGAACAGTGGGATCGCAAATATTATGAGAGATACGTTACGGGACAACTAGCCTACCCAATAAAAAATTAAGGTAATGTCTGTTATGTCACTTTGCTGGCATGGTCAGTGAGTGTTTTCCCCACAAATTCAAGACTTTTCCGAATGTTCATGATGTTGGCACTCAGTCATTAAAATAGAAGTAGCCGGGACCAGGTAGCAGTAGGGAGGGTCATAAATGTTAGAGCTATTTTTTCTGTTTTCATTTTGATGTGATCTTGGAGAGGATGCCATAAGAAACACTTCGATATAAGTTTGGATTCCATCCGTCCGTGCAAAGCAAAAAATACTGATTTAAAGTACTTGACCTAGGGATATTTTGAGATGTTCTGGGACTTTTTTGTGCATGTAATGCAGAGCAAACTGACTTTTTGTACACAAAAATGAGTTTGGATTTTGATTGAAATGCTTAAAATCCATATTTTCATAAAATCTTTGTTTATATTCGTGCCTTTTTTCAATGAATTAAATGTTGACTTCACTTGTAATTTCAAAAAATTTTAAATTGGAAATTAAATAGAAGAGCTAGACATGACTCGAATCACAATTTCCTATTTAAAAAAATGAGCTCCCAGATGAACAGTGCCCTCACTTATTTATGCATGTCCCTAAATACGGCATTTTGAAAAGTACCCTGCAATCGTACCAGAGAAAACCCTTGTTTGCGCTTTATGAAGCAAATCTTCCCCTAAAGACCCTACTATCAGGCACAGGTGTATTTTGTATATATATGTATTTTGTAACCTACATGTATATTATTGGCAAAAAATGAGGTTTTCTCTACCATCCTCACCTTTCATCCCTCGACGATCTGCACACATCTGCATTCTCTGTGGCTGTACGTCATTTGACAAAAAGAGGTGGAGCCTATTCCCTCAATGAACGTGTGTGTTGCTTTGGATACCAGTCCCTATAATTCTGACTACTCTCATTAAGATTAATATGTATAGAGACGTCAGGGAAATTTGTGGTCAGGGAACCACACGAATGCAGATGTGCAGATTGTCAAGGGATGAGAGGTGAAGATGGTAGAAGAAACCTCATATTTTGCCAATAATATACATGTGGGTTAAACGCTACAAAATACACCTGTGCTGGGTAGATCCATATAAGTTAGCTATTGTTTATAGGGTCTTTAGGGGAAGATTGGCTTCAGAAAGTGCAAATGGAGGTTTTCTCTGGTACGATTGCAGGGTACTGTTCAAAATGCCGTAGCATGTGGAACCATCAAAAAGATGGACCCAGTAAGGCCTATGGAGTAGTGCCTTACTGTTCAGGAAGTAGCCTAGCATCCAGTGGGCAAGTAGCAGCTGCCTAGGCTAAGTTATGCATGGTACGGTGGGCATTTGTCCGAGTACGAGTAACTCTACAAATTGTCTTCTTTAACATTTTGGTATGGTCGGGCAGTAGTAGAGTCCAAGTACCTTCTATAAGCTTTCCATTCCCATTAGGCATGTTAGGCCCTAGGCCTAATTCATTTCACTCAAAATAGCTTTTAGGCCCACCCCGAATCAAAATCCTCCAAATTCACCTCCAAACATGCCAAAAGTGGGAAAAGGGTCCCGAAATTCCAGTAATGATGGTAAGGTTTACTCACATATATGGAAAAAAAAGTGCAATTTCCCCTTCAAATCTGAAATGCTCGTCGTTGAGCTCAAAGTCACTACCAGTATCTTTTTCACGTAGCGATTTAAACTGTATGCAAATGTCCTGGAGACGATGTCACGGAGGAGGACTATTCACAAAAAAAGCATGCCATGTTGGAACATGTGTGCCAGCAAGTGACACCGTATCTGAGCGCCGCAATGTCCGATGTTCAGTTTTGATGTGATCACAGCTAACATTCGCTAGCTGTGTGACCCAACCTCATTCCCATGGGTATGATCTTGCTGCGCAGTGTTGGTTCCCACCGTGCCTTGTGCCATCTAACCCCTGGCATTATATAATTTAAATATCCCATTGTTTGGCATATTTAAGTCACACGTGTAGGCCTTTAGTCAGTGGTTTTATGCGCAACGCAGATTAAAAGCGCCTTTCCATATGTGCATCTACATGTACACTTGCAAATCTGTCAAACTTATTCCCAAGGGGATTTTGACGGCCAAACAACGCACAGGTGTGTGTTAAGTTAACGGAGCCAATTTTTGTGTCCGTGGAAGTGAAACACATGAATGTGTCTTGTGCGTAACGCACCCAAAAAAAGGTACATTATGGAAAGGTGCCTTTATGGGTGCATGTTGTGGAGGAGAATACGTGGGCACATACTTGTAGCTTTTATGATATGCTTTATGTTTATGAGTATTCATCCTGAATAGCTAGTCGGCGTCATTTTCGTATTCTACACGATCAAGGGCTAGTGAAGAAACGTGCATGCACCCCTGGAGTCGAGGCTGGCTGTGACTGTATCAAAATTGTACACCGGACATTGTGGCGCTTAGGAATCAGTTGTCGGCGCACATTTGCCAACACGGCATGCTATTCGTGAATGGTCCACCATATCAGTGTGTCTTGACGTTGTCTTCAGGACATTAACGTCTGGTTTGAATTGCTATTCGAACAAGATGGTGACTTTGAGCTTGGCGACAAGAGCGTTTCCGACGTGAAGGGGAAATTTCTCTTTTCTTCCCAAATGTGGGTAAACCTTACCATCATTATTGGAATCTCCAATTCTCACTTAATCCTAAGCCCTACGCATTAGACAGTTTAAGGACCATTTGGAGGTGAATTTGGAGAATTTTGATGCGGGCTTTGAGCTATTTTGAGTAAAATGAATCAATGGGATGGAGAGCCTAAAAGTACTTGGACATAACTATCAACTGACTGTGTCCATATGTCAAAAAAAGCGATTCGTAGTCCAAGTTACTCAGACTAGGTGGGCATAGGCCTGAACCATGTTGAGCAAATTGCTAGCATAGCAAGTAACTACCGGGTAGTATAGGCCTTGTGTGATTTGCCAGGTTCTTTGCTAGAAGGTCTATCAAAAAGCAGAAGATTTTAGCGTTGGGATACATTCAAAACAAAACACAAAATCAAGAGAAAATGGTGACACAATCTGATTGCTTGATATTTTGCTTATTCTAGGCCTACAAATGTACGAAATTGCAATTTTCATAATAAAAAAAGCAAATGTGGACAAGGTGGAATTTAAGTCAACTCGGCCATGTCTGTCTATGGTCAACTTGATACCACTGCTGGAGTAATAGAAATAGTAGTAAAATACCCCGCCAGATGAAAATACACCCCTAAAATCACTGGCCAAAAGGTGGAATTGAGTTTGATGAAAAGTAAATTACTGACTCCCCTCTTGGCGGTTGTGCAGCTACAAAGTGGAAGTCTCCTTTTTTGAGAACAAAGCAGCACGAAATGAATCGACTCCCAGGTACGGTTGGTACTCCGAGTGTGTTTTTTAGTTACAAGGCCCAGCTCTTTTGTCCTATTTCTGTTACCCTGGCTATGCAGACAAACCCAAGGTGCGCGGTTCCGGAAACCTCAGAGGCAAGTGGAATACAGTTTCAATTATGATGCATGTCAACCGATCATTGACAAGATGTGCACATTTAGTGCAGATTACATTTTCAGTGATTGTGTTACAAAATCTGCAGAGAGTTGGAAGAATGTTCGAAGTACATGATTTTCTTTTTTGTGTATAAACCAATGTAACATGTAGGCTTTCTTCCTGGAATGACATTACAGTTTTGTGTATTATATGGAAATACTCAGCAGCATAAAAATCCACAAGAAGTAAAATACCCTTTGAAATGGTGAAACAAAAGTTGAAAGTAAGGTTGACTGAGATGCAAAGGTGCATTGTGAAGGTTTGTGCGAAAACAAATTGATTGCAGCCACCCTTTAAAAAGAAACAATTACGTTCTTCCTGTCACATGTCGGTGTTAAATGGCAAGAGAAAAGGATGTATTTGTACATGTTTCAGCAGAGCAGAGCTTGCTCTGTTGGTCATGATCTTTGCTTCATGTTACTTGTTTTATACTGTTTTAATAAGGACACTTCTAGAATTGAGGTGCTAGCCTAAGTTGTACATGTACATGCATTATTGGGTAAATGACAGTGCCCATGATGTACCTGCGTGCATACCAGATGGACATGTGTAAAGTGTGAATGTTCCTGTGCTAACATGTAGCTGGTGTGAGAATGAAATGGGTAGCACAAATCCTTTCATGTACGAACACGTTCTTTTTGAATGTCTGTTTGGAGTAGTGAGTGAAGATAATTGCCGATACTTTGTTTTGTTGATATGATATCCATCAGCGGAGCAAAACTAACCTCATTTTGCTGCAATGGATACGTAAAGTGTCAAAACCCAGTGTTATATTCGAGTCCATCACAAGTCCATCATACATGTAAGTCATTCAGTCTTAAGCCAATTCACAGGCTATTTAAATGAGCTGTGATAAAAGCATTCTCTTGTCATTGTTCACCCTGTTACTTATGACTGGCCTTGTTGAGGGACTTGTGACTAGCCTTGTGGAGAGACTTGTGACTGGACTTGTGAAGGGACTTGTGGAGGGACTTGTGAAGGGACTTGTGACTGGCCTTGCTGAGGGACTTGTGACTGGACTTTTGATGGACTTTAATACAACACCTAGGGCTGAATCTCACAAGGATTCCAAAACATTGGGCACAGAGCCTGAAACAGATCGGGCATGCAAATTATCCTATATATACATGTATGTCCATTGTCCAGCTTTTGATAACTACATGTACCATGTGGAATCAGGGATTTTTAAGACTCTAGCTATGCTAGCGCAGTTGGGTGTTTGTGGCCATGCGTGCTTTCACCCAGGCACGATCGTACACTATAGTGTGTTCCTGTCACGTGCATGTACATGTACAGTACCTTCAACGTACATGTACATTCACAGTGTACCTTCATCCAACTTTGGCAGGTTAAAATCCTGATCATTTGTGTTTTTCCAAAAAACAGAAATTATTTTTCATTATTGTTGATTTGACATTTTTGTCAAATGAAGCCTTAAATCTTATCTAGTAATAGCAAGCATACATCCGCTTCTTTTAATTGTAAGTCAGAGTTTATTAAGTGCTGGCAAAGTTTCCTGTGTTTCAGGGCAACTTTGGGAGATTGCTGGGATTTAATGTAAAAACATCAAAAAGGATTGTAACAAAGTTTTGCACATGAAAACTCCTTCCAGCCAATTCTCCAGGTGTACTTTATGACAAAATACTTTCATAGTATCATTTGGGAGAATCTTACAGTATATCATTCATATAGTGTGTTACGAATATACTGTGTGACAACCACAACCAAGGGGTGTGGCTTGTGCCAAAGTTACCCCAGGGTGCCAAAGTTACCCTGGTTTATGGTACGCACACAGTGTTTATTGCTATTTTTTGCTCATGGTAAAAGAATGTTAAACATAGTATATTTATTTTGCTGTCCTACTAATACATAGCCAATTACAAAGTCACGCTTTGTTTACAAGATTTGTGGGTATTTTATGGTTGAATTTAGAACTTACAAAAGCCATTTATGTTTCATGGTAACACTTCCTTTTTTTTTAATAACAAAGAAAATCGTAACCCGGCTCTTCTACAATGAATGGTTATCTGCTTTGTCATGTTAATGGACAGTTTCCATGGGGTCGGCGGTGCTTATGCCCGGGCATTAAATGATGATTGACTTTCCAGGAAAATATTTGCAGACAAATTTATCAGGCATATCAGGTTACACAAGAATCTAAACAGATGATCTATTTCAGCTGGGAGCTGGTAAACATTTTTTTCCACAAGCCATATTGTTTATACGTTTATAAACAATCGGGAGTTTGACATGCATATAGCTTGTGGATGATTTTTATTTTCCATTGGCAATATCGCCGGGGAAAAAAAAAATTGACTTTTACAAAAATCAATATTCTTAGCCCTAGAAGTGAGGTACTTGTATGTACACGTACAAAGCCTTGTTGGGAGTGCTAATAGTAAGTGTATTGTACATATCAGATCCATTACAAAGGAGTTGCATAACAAGTTTGGCCACTCTTAACTGGAGACAGTGATAAGTCAAATCACGGTCCTTTGTCTCGTGAATAACATGTGGCTCAACTCTGCAAGGCTGCACTATCTTCGATTGACTTGTCAGACTTTTGAAGAAAGGCAGTGGCAAAAAGTTGATATTGATGTAACCTCTTCTGCCCTTTGCAGCTTCCATGCCAACACGAGGAAGAGAATGGCGCAGTGGCTCACAAGAGAGTAACCGGCAAGCTTGTCTTCACAAGCTGCGGTTTCATCCGAAACCTTCAGAGAGCACTTGAAACTCTTTCTACCGGCTGGACGTCCTCATCAGTATTTCCTTGACTATGATCAGTTGACCACAGGTTTGGGAGTTTTGAAGTTCAGAGCTGACAAAAAAACCTATAAACCTGGCCTCACCATGAAAGGGGGGTTTTGTTCGTGTGTGTGTCACATGTGGATAGTCCTTACATTTATTCATGTGTTATGTCATCATGGGACTCTTGCGGAGGAAGCAGGAACCAATCATCAGTATTCAGTAGAGGACCAGTTGTCAGCTTGTGATATCTTCAATGAGACAGATGTAGTTCCCGACATTCAGATTGACTTTGCCACCCAGTTCGTTAGTAACGGTAAGTGCCTGTCAATTATTTCAGCTGTACGTAAACATTGTAGATTGAGGGGCTTCCATTCTTCTGTGACAGATACGTGACAGACTCTGCAAAAATGGCCCTTGGGCTTATGTGTGACAAATTGATTTTAAGTGATGCCCACGGATAGGGAGGCATTTGAATAAGGATTAAATTTGTGTATTTTGGACCTCTATCACACATTCTATTCCCCAGATACAGTAAAATTTAGAATTGATCTCTGGCAGATGTACAGAATGGTCAGTTACATACAAAGGCATTACAAACAGGCATGGCATGAGTTAAGGGCTGTTTTTTGGCAGAGTGGGTCACATATGTCCTGCTTGCCCAAGTGATGTAAATGTACAAACATGTTTACGTTCAGTGTGCAACAAGGCCGAAGGTACATACACGAGATATCTTAGCATGCAATATTAATAGACCGATTGCATCTGCTAAGTCACGTGACCTACAATGTACATGTATTGTGGGTATCAGACATCATTAAACATTGGGTCCTGAGTCTTCCCATAGCAAGGTGTGTCTTAATTGTCATTTGCTAAAATTAAAGCATGACAGTCGGTAAAGTACTTGGACTACTGATGTGCTGAGCACTATACCGAAAATCGGCATTATTATTTGGTAAAGAACACGTACGACTCACTTTGCTGTGGAAAGGACGCCATGTTTGTTGATGTGCGGTACCCACTATAGGTCACATAACTTAGCCGGCACAATCTGTCTGTGGTCAGTTTTGCGAGTGATCCCGATGACTTACTGCATAGTTGTTGACTTTCGGAGGTTTTCCAGAGCGTTGTTTTTGCTTTTCGACAAAATGGCCGAATGGCCCAAATGTTTCAAAGCAACAGGAGTTTTAATGGTAGACCTTCCTGAATCCTGACCGCACAAAATGTATCTGAACATGTACGGTACACCTGCTAGAGCACAGATGTCTCATTAATCTAATCATCCTTAAATATACATGTACATGTATACATGTACGTATACATTTGCAAAATATGTTATATATTGGAATAGTGGTCTTGTACTATTTATAACTATGCACAGTAGGACAGTGTGCAGTACACAAAGAACTCACTGTACGAAAAAAGAGAGGCCTACTTGTTCTTTTGTGCATCCATGTTTGTGCAGAGGCCTGAGGTAAACTTGAAATTTTGTATGTCTGTTTGCATATCCGCATCTGCATTCTAAAACGACACGTTATTAAAACCGATACACCAAAACCTCAGTGCACAATCAGTAAATGAACGATTTACTCTTGCTCAGTGTCAAACATGCAAATGCGCATGTATAAACTGTACATAGATATTAAACCACATGACAGGAAATGGGCGGTATATCATTTGTAAATGTTGTGGTCGCGCATTGCATTTAAAGCACGTAATTCAGAATTCCTTTCATTTATATTATCATGTTCTACAGATGTGCGCATGAATTCAATTGGGAGGTGTCAAAGCTTTTCCGCTCGGAATGATGACTTGGGGTACTAGTGATTTAATGTACATATAGCTCTGTGGCAGTACGGAATAGTGTCACAATCTTGTTGCCATGGACTGACCAATCACGAGTCAGAATCAAGGATTCAAGTTTATTGAAGATTGTTGTCTCTTTTTCCCTTTCAGAGTATATCGTAGTTTTCAAGAAGTACTACTTTGAGCAGACTAGACTGAATTACATCTCGGCAGCGTTGAGACTCAGTCAGCCAAACTCATGGAGCGTGGTCCCACGTTTGAATCCTGCCGCCAAATACCCAAGTGACTTTGAAGTGCTCAGGGTAAAATAGCATTGCGTTTTGACTTTCCCAGCGTCAATTTCAAAGCAGTCTCTCAAAACTTCATGATTGCGGTGTCATGTTTAATATTCACGTACCATTTACTGTACATTCAGCAGGAGAAAACTCCTTGGAAATACAGTGTAAAACTGAGAGTTGGGCGCTATTGACATGACCCAGTTTTCTTATCAAGCCAAACATCTTTTTTTTTTTCCTTTTACTGAATTGAATACTCGTGAACGTGATATCACAAAGTGACACACTGTGCAAACATTCACATTCACACAACATAATGCACGTAGAGTCTTGTAATGAATGCAGTGGCAAACAGATTCGGACTGCATGTACATGTACATTTTCCCTCAGGTTTTCGCAAAGGCAAGTAATGCTTGAGGAGGTACATGAATGGTCATAGCTGCACAGTACATATGAAGAGTTTCATCACAAAATGCATTTTATCAATTTTATTGATTTTGAGATAATGCACGATTATTGTCTGCTACAATAAAGAAAATAATAAAGGAAATTTGATGTACATGTACATTTTATCATACATGTACCTCCAAACATACATATCAGAATTCAGCAGACAAGGTGTCAATTAGCAGATATTTTTATGAACAATATATCGGTCATCTTAACTCATATTTTTCAAAAATGGTGGATATGGCGTTGTGCGATGAAGCTCTTGATGTACACAGATTGTCAGTTCTGGTTCAACACCACAGTTTACTACCACTAAGGAACATTAGGACAGTGATTTTGTTCTTCATTTTCATGACGAGTGTGCAGAAGGTACATGTATACATGTACATGAATGCGAGGGAGGGAGGGGTGTACGGCCTGTGTTTGCTTTTGAAATACGCAAGTGCACTTAAGTGTCTGCGCTTTTTTTTAGTTTTATCCATAGTATACACATAGGGTGAAATTAGACACAAGGTGCCACAGTATAATGTTCCATATTGTATCAAGGTCAGATAAGTCACGATGTGCAGAGAGTAATCCAGTTTTGTTGGGACAGAATCAAATTTTAGAAATTCCACCCTCTTTATGTACCTGTGCGTATCTATACATGTACATGTATGTTCTAGTAGTCAGACACACCGGCAGATATACAGCGTGGAAGATGGTTTGTGCAGGATGTGTGAGCCTGCATTGTAACCTGTTGCAAGTTTGCAGTGAAGGGAGTCAACTTGTACCCTGTTTTTAGACAGTGGTGAACACTTGGAATCTAAGCAGTTCCCAGGGTGATTACTTAAGTTTGGGGAGTCAGGTTGGCTTAGTGTTTCTTTCCTTGCCTTCCACCTCTGGGGGCCTGGGTTCGAATCTAGCTTGGTCTGCATGCGGATGGGGTTTTCAGTCCTTACCTACATGTAAGTCCATGGGTTTTCCCCAAAACATGTGTCCCGGATTTTCCTCCTACCTCTAAAACTGAACATTTCTTCATGGTCTTCTTCACTCATTATCATCCCGTAATTGGCACTAAATGCGCTTTTAGCAATTAGATGATCACATATAGATAAGTCTGACCACGTTGTCCTCTCTTAAAACATAACTTGATTCTACAGGGAAACGTACTGTGCATCCAGATCAGTTTGTGACTCAATACATCTGCATGTACATGTACCCGGGACAGGGTGTCAAATCACTAGGAATGAAATAGTTGTCTACTCATCTTGTATTTACTGTACTTAACAATGGGCCCCATTAGGGTTAAATTCCAAATGGCTTTTTACTTCGAATTGCAGATAACGGAAGATGAAGAGATCAGCGTGCAATCTCTAGAGCACCATCCATCTATTAAGCAGGTTACTCATCAACGACAGATTACCCGCTCCATCAAGTCAGCTGCTGAGGAGGAACATCTGCGAGGTGACCCCTTAGTTTTTGGGTTTTTTTTTTTGTCACAGTCAGGGTTGTGATAGTTGTATCACTTGGGAGATGTTTTATACATTACACTGTGGCGGTGGCATGATGACATATTGTGCAGTGTGTTGTATTTTAGTCCATCACAAGTCCCTTCCCAGGTCCCTTCACAAGTCCCTTCCCAGGTCCCTTCACAAGTCCCTTCCCAGGTCCCTTCCCAAAGCCCTTCCCAGGTCCCTTCACAAGTCCCTTTCCAGGTCCCTTCACAAGTCCCTTCACAAGTCCCTTCACAAGTCCCTTCCCAGGTCCCTTCCCAAAGCCCTTCCCAGGTCCCTTCACAAGTCCCTTCACAAGTCCCTTCCCAGGTCCCTTCACAAGTCCCTTCCCAGGTCCCTTCCCAATGCCCTTCCCAGGTCCCTTCACAAGTCCCTTCCCAGGTCCCTTCACAAGTCCCTTCCCCAAGGCCAGTCATAAGTAACGGTGAACAGTGACAACAGAACTCTTTTGTCACAGCTCATGTTAATAGCTCATGAATTGGCTTGGGACTTGCAGGGACTTGTGATGGATGCGAATACAACACTGATTGCGCAACAATGTGATCACTGTGTTGTGTCCTTGCTACACAGTTACATGCATGTGTGCCCTATTGGGGTTACTACAGTGTAGTTTGGTATATGTTCTGGTGCCTATAGTTGGCCTACTGATACAAGTGTTCTCCAAGTTCATCGTTTCTAACTGGTGATTTCCAAATACATGTAATCATGTCATTTGTTATTAATTTTTTTCACGTAGATGAGGATGAAGACGATTCAAATATGTGCAATAGTGCCATTGATCCTCTGTGCTGGGCTCCACAGTGGAAATCCTCTAGATCGATGAGACGTTCCAGTTTAGGCTTGGTAAGATAGAGGAATCTGTCTTGATTTCATTTCTGCTGAGAGCATTTCAAAACATACAGTAGATTTATACAGTGGGAGTTTTGTCCCATTCATTCTCTTCAAAGCCTGATGTTCCAATGGGGTATTTGTTTACTCAGTGCACACAAATACATTTCAGTGTGGTATTCAGCTGTTGGGAGCATGTTTGATGTTGACGCTGGGCTAAGACCTTACATGCCAGGCTTTGAGGTTGCAGTTTGTGTTGTTCACAGAATTTCGACAGAGTCTGGGTTGCAGACGGAACCTGGGTTGCAGACAGAGTTTGGGTTGCAGAGAGAGTCTTGGTTGCAGACAGTCTGGGTTGCGTGCAGAGTCTGGGTTGCGTACAGAGTCTGGGTTGCAGACAGTCTGGGTTGCAGACAAAGTTTGAGTTGCAGACAGAGCCTGGGTTGAAGACAGAGCCTGGGTTGAAGACAGAGCCTGGGTTGCCGACAGAGCCTGGGTTGCAGAGAGAGTCTGGATTGCAGAGAGAGTCTGGGTTGCAGACAGTCTGGGTTGAGGACAGAGTCTGGGTTGCAGACAGAGTTGCATACAGAGTTGCATTTGTGCTGACAAGCACACATATTCTGTGAAAGCCTGCTTGGTTCTCATGTTCCATGTACCTGTTATCACTACGTTCTTGCTCACTCTGTGGTATGGTTTCTAGTAATGGATCCAGTTATTCCTTAAAACAAGCACTTGCCACTACGGCTGAGGAATCTGGAACTATAGACCTATAACATAATGACATCACGCTTTGCTGTAATGCATGTGCGCTTTCCTACAGGGGCTTTAGGGAAGCGTGCTGCCTCATTGCCATAGGAAAATGCATGTGTGAACAAAGTATGACGTCACTAAGTGACAGGTCCATTTGTGCCAAAAAAATTTGAAACCTTTTGAAGTGCTATTTACAGGATTCTTTAAAATAGTCTGGTGCCCCGTTTCTGTTTCGACGACGTGTAGTTTCACTCCCTGTGGTAGTGAAAGTACATGGTTGCTGAATTTGGAAAGGTGGTGCCGAGTGGTGCCATCAGGACTTGCACAGAAGAAAAGATTGGTGAAATTTTGAAACAGGGTGAAGTGGGGGACTGGTTTTTAAAAGTCATTTGTGTTTCCACTTCATACAGGGATCGCCCTTTTGGGAGACAGGACGCCATTCGGGCAGGAAGCTTCTTCGCGCCGTCCCGAGAGAAATCACCGACATCCTGCAGGCCAATGTGCTTTGGGATTTGGGTTTCACAGGTAACGGGCCCGCCCGAAATGTATTAATCGTCAATTATTTCTATTTCTCCTGTCAAGTTGGGAATAACGGCAGGGCAGAAATTAGCATTTGTACCTGCGACTCGAGGACGGTGATATGGGAGTTGTTGAGATCTTCTGTGTGTTCCAGCTCAAAGAATGAGACTGTTTCGCTTGACTGTGGTCGGACCCTTGTTCCCAAGCCAGCAGAGCTTGATGCAACGTGTTTGCTCGCTTCATTCCAGGGGAAAACACAAACAAGCCAGCTTCTGAATTTTTTCTCGAGCTACATAATTGCTTAAGAATGTGTAGAAACCCAAGGATATACACTTTTTCTTTTTCTAAAATGTGACATCATTATGCATCCTGTCTTGGAAATCGAAGATGTCCTTACCATTTGAAATAAAATGATATATCTTGCCTAAAGGAACTGGTATTAATATTGCCGTCTTTGACACGGGACTGAAGGAGAAACACCCCCATTTCCGGAATGTAAAGGAGCGCACCGACTGGACCAACGAGAAGAAACTCCATGACGGGCTGGGCCATGGCACTTTTGTGGCAGGGGTGATCAGCAGCACCTCTGACTGTAAGGGTTTTGCCCCCGATGCTAACCTTTACATCTTCAGGGTATTCACAAACAATCAGGTACGTGCGGTGGGGTGTTCTTGCCAAAACGTGAAATGAATCCAACTTCGGCAGCACTTCCTTTGAGTAAGAGACTGCTAAGCAATATGTGCACAACGGAGATCATTTAGAATCATAAAATTTCTCACTTAACGTAAATATTTATCAGTGTGCAGTTTTCATGACCCCGTAAATCCCCATCGTGGGGTTTGCGGATCATAACAAATAATTTAGCATTCGATTTGGACACCTTTGAAAAGTCAAAAATTGGAACAGTTTTGATTAAATTGGAACCATAGGTAGACATGGTATGCAGTATTGGGTCTCACATCTGATACTAAAAGTGAACTTGATAGCAACAGTGACACCTCTGTCATTCATTTCGCCTTATTCTCTTGGTTCTAAAGGTTTCATATACATCCTGGTTCCTTGATGCCTTCAACTATGCCATCCTCAAGAAAATCAATGTCTTGAATCTCAGCATCGGGGGACCAGACTTCATGGATCATCCATTTGTGGACAAGGTAAAATTTTACACATTTCCGTCCTGATATCTTCTCAAATTATATTTTTGTTCTAAGGTATCCGATACAATATTTAATTAAGTTTGGATCTAATGGCTTCTGGCTAGTGCCCCCTAAACAAAGATACTGACAATTGGGAAGGGCTGGATAGCTCAGTTGGTAGAGCATTGGTACGGTATTCCAGAAGATCGCAGGTTCAAATCCCGCTTCAGTCAATTTATTTGTTCATCTTTATAATCATTTACAAATACCTAGTCAGTTTCCCTGTATAATTTCTTTCATGATTTATATTCAAAAAGCCGCATCCTCTTTGAGTGATCCCTGTTCACCACTTCCCAGGTTGTATTGTGTTATTGGGATGTGATCCCTAGCTACATGGTGTTCCAGGTTTAATGGCTTCTGGCTGACGTCCCTCAAACAAAAATATTGACAAATTGGAAGAGCCATCAACACAGGGGCCGTATAGCTCTGTTGGTAGAGCACCGGTACGGTATTCTTGAGGCCGTAGGTTCAAATCCCACTCCAGTCAATTTCTTTGTTCATCTTTATAAGTTTGGATCTACATGTCAAATTGTTGGTGCAATTGTTCATGTTTTGAGTGTTTAACAGCAAAGGGGTTGCCTCAGATAGAGGACGCTGGGGGAAAAAAGTTCAATCCACACCTGGGCTTGTGATCAAGAAATATTCAGAACTGAGTGTTGCTGAATTGGCTCCGGCATGCAAGGCAGGGTTTAATTTACTTACGTGTGTGTCTTTGAGTGTTTTTTTTCCCCGTTTGTTTTCAATTTACCTTGTTTGACCTTGACATCAACCATCCATGATTACAATACATGAAGTAGTTCAAAGGGAAACTTGTACCTCCAGTTTAACACAACGTTAATGTCTAAAAATAATGTTATTCCCCAAAGTATACAGTATTGGAATCGCTTAGATGATTCTATGGAATCACTACTATATTTACCCGTCTTTGTAAAGAAACTCAAAACTCAATATTTAGAGAAATATACGTAATTTTTATGAAGTGCTTGTTTAGTTAAGCATCTTGCCCTTGTCTCATACTTGTCAGCCGTATGCTATGTTTTTGTTTGGTTTTATGGTTTGTTGGTTTTTTTTCTAATTGTTTCCTCGTTTGTCTGTCCTTTGTTTAGGGTACAAAAGCATTTGCTTAACCTAACACCTAAATGTTGTCATTGTCTTCTGAATGTTATATAACTGTGATAATATTAATGATATTGATATTTATCTGTGACAAATGAACATTTGTGTATCAAATTTGTGTCCACAATGACAACATTGAATAAATGTCCTCCTCTAACTAACGAACTAATTTTTTTTTCTGGGATGGCGTTTCTTGAAAGTTCAGTATCTTGCATTGCATATTTTTGTTTGTGTTGACACGCAGGTGTGGGAGTTAACAGCCAACAAGGTGATCATGGTGTCGGCAATAGGAAATGATGGACCGCTCTATGGGTGAGGGCAAATGCCATCTTATAATTAAGGTTCTGAGTTGCTAAGAAGGTCTTCCGTTGTTTTAGGTCAGTGGTTGTTCCAGTCGTTCCAAACCAGCCCCAAGATGTTGACCGTCCAGTGACCAATTTTTTTTTCAAAGTTGGCATGCATATCAACTGTGAAGCTTCGTTTCAACCTGACGTGAGGCGGTGTTGCTATGGTAATTTGTACCAGACGCTGTCAGGCATGTCAGTCTCTGCATTTACCACAGAGTCGATGGGAAAAATTGTTGACCAACCTGTCTTGGAAAGATGTGCATTTTTCAAGAACTGTATGTGTCCAATTTTCGTACCATCGGTGTCCAAAATAATAGTGAAAAGCTGGTACGGTATAAAAAATATCTTGTGATAGTATCAGAGGAGAAAATTACTCTTTTTGGATTTAAGAGGTGTTTAAGGAGCAGAACAATACTACTTACAACACAAATTTGAAGGGAACAAAAATTTGAGATGTAAATGAAATCACATAAATATTACCAAAACACGAAATCAGTATTCAGTTTTGAATAAATTTGTGTCATAGCAGAGGAACCTTGTTGAAATTTCAATATTATGCTGGTTGCAATGGCTCTGTCCATTCTGAATGTAATGTCACATACCCACTCACAGTTGAAAGGGCTTATCCTCATAAATGCTGCTTCACCCAAGTACACCTTGGCACTGTCCCGGCTGTCATCTTTGCAGATCTTAACCTTTAGCGTATTTTACCTTATCAAAGGACCCTCAACAATCCAGCTGATCAGATGGACGTGATTGGTGTGGGTGGCATCAACTTTGAGGACAAAATCGCCAAGTTTTCATCGAGAGGCATGACAACCTGGGTAAGTTTTGGTGGAACCCATGTACAGGCAGCAGACTCTGAGCTCACTTTGAGAAAAAATATTAAAGACTGGAGCATCTATTATAGTTTTCTTTTGTTAAGCAGTAAAAAAATTGACCTTAAGTAAAATATTTGTGAACTGAACTTTATTAATGTGAGGTTCCTCTCTTTTTAACTTGGCAAAATTTCTTGTTAAGCAAAAATGAGCTTTAGTCAGTTATGAGTGGTACATGTACATCACCTGGCATTTTGTCTGGTAACTTTGTTGTCGAGCAAGAGTTACCTTTGTGTAGAAGATTTGTACACTGGTAGCCTCTTCAGACATAAGCACCAGGTCCTTTGAGCATTTGCACTTCCGTTTCTTGTTTATCCTGACAGGAGTTACCCACGGGCTATGGCCGGCTGAAACCAGACATCGTGACTTACGGCTCCACCGTACGCGGGTCTAGCCTGAGTGGCAGTTGCAGGACCCTCTCTGGGACCTCGGTAGCTTCGCCAGTGGTAGCGGGGGCCGTGGGATTACTGGCAAGGTGTGTGAAACCTTCCATTTCTGTGATAATCTGTGTGTATAGTGCCAATGGATTGTTACTCAGTGGGTATATCATGGTCATGAATTTGTTCGGGACCTTTTCCATTTGCTCTTCTTTCATATTTAACCCTTTTCTATCTAGTGCCAATAGATTGTTACTCAGTGGGTATATCATGGTCATGAATTTGTTCGGGACCTTTTCCATTTGCTCTTCTTTCATATTTAACCCTTTTCTATCTAGTGCCTTTTACTAAGCACTGGACTGAATCCATCAAAATCAGACACTCCCTGTGGACTCCATATTTCTCGCTAGTAAGTCCACCACTGGTGTGATGGGCTTCGTTGATGGACCTATATATATTCCGCACGGCTTACACGAGTCATTAGTACTGCAGCCATAATACATAAACTGACTGCCCTGGCAGTGGTTCAGGCCTCGTGGACCAAGTCCATCATAATCCCTCAACATCTGGTCACCTGAGGACTTGTTGACCAAGTCCATCAAAATCCACTAAAAAGTAGAAATGGAATTTGATGGATGCGAATTGATTTGGTTTAATTAGTCACTTACCGTGGGTGACCTATCAACTTTGACCTCCTAATGGAGTATATCTCCATGGTACAGTAGTGAAGTTCAGACTTGCTGCATAATGTGAGGTTCATTAAAGAGCACCTCTTAGGAAAACACACTTTCTCTGATTTTATCTGTTCAAATAAATATGGAAGCATCCAAATCGAATGCAGTGTCATTTGTCTTCAGATCTCAACTGTAACAAGCTAAAAGGGCTTTTTTTCTGTTCATGCCAAGTTGCGAATTATGAATGTAGATTGCATCATTCTGAGAAAACAGAGAAAACGAGGGGACCCCTCGCCCTGCGTTCGGAGTGGATGAAACCCTTGGGCATGCCAAATAATGCATGTAGCCATTGTTTGGCATGCACGAGGGTTTATCCACAACAGAGTTGATCTGAAGACAAATGGTACTGCATTTGATTTGGATGCTTCCATATTTATTTGAACAGATAAAATCAGAGAAAACGTGTTTTCCCTAGAGGTGCTCTTTAAGCAAACTTCAGGGCAAGCTGAGCCATATTTCAATGGTTGAAAAATCACAACATTATAAGGTGCATGGAATCTCACAGTATCTGTAATTCAAAGCAAGGCAAACACAAGTGCAAATGTGGGCGTCCAAGTGAATGCCCATGCTGCCGAAGGCAAATTTGGCCACCGAGGCTGCTAACATCAAACTCTAGGTTTGCCTGCTACCAGCATCCAGCTGCGAGACTGTGTGGAAACAATGTCTCAGACTATGTTTTAGATGACCAGGGTCCAATTTCATGGAGCTGCTTGCCAGTTAGCAGTAAAGAAAAGTCATGCTTACTGTAGCGTAGAAATTTGCAAATCGTAAGCGCTTTTTCACAGTGGTGCACGGCGCGGTTGTGCTTACGGTTGCGCATTGTTACATGTACGCCACTGCCGGTAAGTTAGGCTGATTTTTCCTCCGAGGTTAGCGTGCCTTTGGCTGTGCTTACTGCTCATGGTCTTCACGAAATATGCAGAGCCTCAGTAAGTGTAAAATCGTGTGTTGAGCACAGCACCGTTAAACTGGGCCAAGATCAGTTCTTGTGACTGTGACCAGAACCTGCACATGAAATACATGCATTTCAGTGTAATCACAGGTTGAATGAAGCTACATGCATTGGGTTTAGATGCTATCATTTGGAAACTCTGGGACATGTAAAATGTCAGGGTTTCTTTCATTTTGCAGTGCTGTCTTGGATCGTCAGGAGATTCTGAACCCGGCGAGTATGAAGCAAGCTCTCATGGCGTCAGCGAGGCGTCTCTCAGAAGCTAACATGTTTGAGCAAGGACACGGGAAACTAGACCTAGTCAGAGCATACCAGGTACTCAGTACCTACAACCCACAAGCTAGGTATGTGACACAGTCACCATCGACTACTGAGTATTAAAGTTTGGAGATGTTTGGTGAAGGTTTGTGAAAAGGAGGTTATTCCAGTGAGGTATCTCTTGGACTCGGGCGCGGATCCAGGGGGGGTTTGGGGAGGTCAAAACGTCCTCCTTGCTCTGAGCAAAAAAAAAGGATAAAAGATGGAGAAAGTTGTAAAAATAACTGAAGTAGGAGTGAGTAACAACACCACTGTAAATAATTTATAATGTTTCATCATCGTTTCCACTCGTCAGCAAAAATTAGACATTTAAAAAAAAAATCTCCAGCCTTACTCCTCCCGTCGGAAAAATTCCTTGATCCGCCCCTGGAACTATTGCTCTCTTTGGCGACGTGATGATTTTATTTTTGATCTTTTAATGGGAAATTGTTTCACATGGAATTTTTTTTTTCAGCCTGAGTCCCAACTACATCGACATGACTGAGTGTCCATATTTCTGGCCCTACTGCACTCAGCCTATCTACTACGGAGCAATGCCCACTATTGTCAATGTGAGTATTGTCGATTGACTCTATTTCACTGCTTAGCTTTCTAGGATAAAACCAGATACCAGCATGACAATTTATGGAATTTGTCCCAACCCTCAGCAGAACTCTTTACTTTCCAATAACCTTGATTCCACAGGTATTTTTGATAAACCTTAAGAAAGCCACAGCATATTCTTTGATTGTAAACAACTGAGCCGCACCAGCCCTGCTGTTTTATGGCTGAGCTGTAACTTCCTTAATCCTGCAAAATCCTGGCACATTCTTGAGAGAGCAAGGGATATGGATATTTTGCGCAGAGTATACGAATATGGACCTTTTGGCACTTTTTCTTGACAAATGACAGGAGCATTAATACGGGCATTTTCACAATGCAGAGTGCCACCAAGAGGCCTTTTTTCGTAGTGCATTGTGAGGAAACTGTCATCTAAGTGCTATTTGCAAGTTGCTTGCATAGGGAACTTGAATTATTCTCGAAAATTGCCTTGGTTGAAGATTTGAATGTGTTTTTGAGTATTGGTATTGATTAATCAAGTTGTGAGTCAAGGAACCCTGCAATCAATCCAGACTTTCCTCGAGTTGTCTACTGGCATTTTCTCAAATACTGCGGTGAGTCGGCCACATTTTTGTTGCCCTGTACTTTTGAAAATATGGCCTCTCTGTGGCAATCCGTTGATGGCACACTGTCTTGTGCTTTGCCCGTATTAAGATCTCCACATAGAGATATCCTCGGTAGTAGTTTTTGGGTTCCCCCCACAAAAAGAAATCCCTTCACCTTATGCAATATTGGAATGTTCCTGTTTCGGACAGGGCTGGTTAAAGGATATGCCTTCATTGAATACAAAACCATTTCTTGAAGCTAAACTGTTACTTCAGTTTGATATATTTCATTCGTGGTCAGCTGTTTTATTGACAATTGGGTTTTCATTTCTTGGTCGTAAGGAGGAAACGGGCCTAGTATGTTGTAATCAGGCAAAAAGGACATTGTTGTATAGAGTACTAAAGTGTGACATCATTTTGAACCAGAAAGCGCAGTGCAAACGAACGGAGTACGTGCACGTGTTGGTTGACGCACTGGTCCTCGCGCTAATGCCTTTCACGCACATGACTGTGCTTGTGACATATTGACTTCGGTACTCTATACTGTTATGCCCGTCATGCCAACACGCAGGTTTCTATGGGCCCACTGTGACGACATGGTCAGCGAGGTTGAACAAACTCCAACTCCGTGTCTGTGCATGTCAGGAGAATTTTGCCATTTGACTGTGTATCACTTGGGACTATCGCTGCTGGCGGTGCTTCTTTCATGTTGCCACTTTGGGATGGATGGCCTAGTTACAGACATATTAAAGATGGCAGTAGTCAGTGTGACTTTACAGGAGAATCCTTTCAGGAGGTTGCTCTACCTTCCCAGAAATTTAGCAAATTGTTTAAATTCACGCAAAGCTGAAGTGTAATCCCTGTATGTCAAGTACACCTTGGGGTTGAAGCACACTTATCATTCAATTGCACTTGTGCAACCGATTTGATGCTATTTTAAAACATACTGCACAGCAATGTGAAAAAAAATTTAGTAGAAGTAGAACTTTTTTCCCGAGTGGATCTACAGAGTTAGCATTCTGCTCCACTTGTTTTCATGGATACCAGTATGTGATACAATACAAGCAAGATCGAAATGCACGTACTTCCTTTAACCACATCGCGCTGGGGGCATTTATGAATGTTGATGATGCTGGGACGGGATAATTATCATTTTTTCTGTTCTTCATTTACTGGACACTTACACCCACACAAAGGACTGTCTGGTTTCTACTCTAATCTGGCAGCGAACATCTATTGATGCTGGAGTATTTTAGCCAGGCCTGCGGCCTTGTAAAAAAGGCCAGATTGTGCAGTGTTATGTAATTTTCTTTTGTTCACGAAACTGGCACAGTGCGCTGCTGACCTTTTTTCAATAGGGGCCAGATTAGCATGCAGCGGTGCTGCGTGGCTCATCGTTGTGCTTTTGTCACCGGTAGTAATCCGCTCGCGGTGAATACCCCAAACCATGGTATACTGTTTCAAAACAAGGCTGGATTATCTCCACTATTGAGAGTGAAAAAATGTTGGTAATTTCCAGCAGCCTGGTCTTTTGTTGGGAGTACGGTCTTTTGTTACAAGGCCCAGTTCCCTTTGGCCGATTTCGGAGACCCCGGCCACGCGTATAAAGAATATGCATCGGAAAACGGAATCCTCGGCAGCAAGTGGTTAATTCGAAAAGAAGAGAATGGGGTAGTTTTTCCAATTCTTAGAAAATGCGTTCATGAACATGCACGAGGGCGCTATTTGGACGTCTGCAAGGCACACCTCGTCTGGAGACCATAAGAGGAGTACAAATATGAGTCCTTCATAATCACCCACCCAACACTGTTTTGAAGAAATATAGGCCACTGCTACATGTATTGTTGGAACAAGCTGTAATATGAAAATCAAGTATAAAGTGCAACCTACTCCTAGAAAAGGGAGAAAAGTGTTACACATATTGTACGCAAAGCTCTGGAGACATTCCTGTTCTGCTTTGAATGACATCACATTTGGTTCATGAGTATGGGCATCGTCATCAGCATAATAGCCAGAATGTTGAAATTTCTCCCTTTTACTGCTACGAAGGAGGTGGAAAGTTATCGTAACATGCAAGCTGTGCTACATATTTAAGTGCTGAAAATCCTATTTGCTGAGCTTCAATTTTGTGCTGCTGAATCGGTTCAGATGCTAAACCGTTGTTAGCAAAAGTTACTTTCTTCACACTGAAGTCCAAGCATTGACCTGAACAGTATTTCAACAAAGCAAAATAGCCAGTGGTAGCCGAAAGAATGTCCGGAGTTTAAGATAATGACTGGAACCTGCCCAGAGAGAAATATAACTCGTTCATATCTGCCCTCAGAAATGTTGGAGAAATATCTAGACTCTCACCACATTGAGAGTTCTTCATGCTGTGCTAAAACATACGCATGTACCGTTACAATTGTAATTCAAAATGGTGCCGCCCACACTCGTGTAGGCTTGGCAGGTATGACAAGGGCTCTTCACTACTGTTTTTGTCCAACATGGGTGTGGACAAGCTGACAGGTCTCACACAGTTGACGTTTCCCCGACACTGTATACCAGACCTGCCTCGAATTGCAGATTGCATTGACATCAAAGGAAAGTTCACGCTGAAACCAAACCTGTCCCTTGGCACTGCACAAGCCCATTTGACGTCAACTATCGAATATCCTCGAATAAGTGAAGATGGGGAAACCCTATGCTTTTGGTCTGCAGCCAATATTTTTATTAAAAAAAAAGAAGAAAGAAACACCACTCCTTGTCTAGACCAAAGTGCTGAATTGACATCTTAACATTTGAGGGAAAGGTTGGAAACAACATCTTCAGCTTGGAGCAAGAGATGGTTGCCTGTTTACCTTTGGCCCAATTTTCTTAACTTGTGTACTGGCAGTCACTCACTCGTGCACAACTTTTGTAGAACATCATGTCGTGAGCCCCTGCTTGTTATTCAAAATTAGGAATATGGTAACTTCCCAATAAAAGCAGCATTTGGCTAGGAATAGGCTGAAATTTGACCTTTGGTTTTCTAGTTTAATGTATGTGTATATACATGTACTGTATATTAAGGAATACATCCATTGGCCTTGCTCCTAGTGGCAGGCACATCAGTGGTGTGGCCAGGCTCTTCTCAGAAGGAAGGGGCAATAGAGGAGGAAAGAGTTCCTGGGGGAGGGGGGAGGGAGGGGAAAGTTACCCCTTGACCCTCCCCCCGGGGCTATGCCACTGAGTTTTTATAATGGATATCTCTGTCAAGAAGCCTTGTTTATTGGGTCTGTGCCAGCACTAAAGTATTGCGTAATTATATCAACATACTCTGTACATGTGTTAAAGATGGTGTAGTGACAGGCCCCCTTAAAAAAATCCAGATTTTCCAAATAAGGTGGGAGGAGGCCGGGGGAAGAATTCACACAGGGTGGATGTAGCCGGCCTGCCCTCCCTTGGCTACGTCACCGATGCACATGAGCATGTACGAAGAACCGTATTACAGATGGTCCACCCCAACTTGAAGCTCACCCCTCATTACCAAAGAGAGAAGGGTCGGTAAGAACCCACATGTATGCAAAGACCAGACGTTCTTGTACATTTCAACACCGTTGCCCGTTCCATAGGGTGCACTGCACAAAATGCACACAAACCACGTACATGTACTTGAACGCTGTCGTTCAATATGGAGTGGACAGAGTTTAATTATCGGTACTTGACACTGTCAGATGTTAGAGGAGACAGGTATTTACATGGACTAACAGAAGTGGGGTCATGGTTGAGTGAAAAATGACCCATACTTTATTGTCCAGCTAAAGGCTATAACATTTGTTGGCATACATGCACACCCCAATTGAATGAGAAGAGTACAGGCAGGATATCAAAGTGGCAGTTGCAATAATCTGTCATAATGTATTTATGCATATTCTGTTTTGTAGAATTGTTTTGCGCCTTGAGTGTCACTTGTGACGGAATTGCCGCGTTATAAATTCTCAATATTTTTATTTTTTTTGGTCTTTCGTGAGTGGTGACTGATGCATGCATGCCGTCAACCCACTTTAACCATGCCAGTAGAACATGCGCAGGCAATCTCCAATTACACAAATGGATTGGAAATAATATTAGGAGACGGCACTTGGGCCAATGCAACATGTTTAGACTAACGGATTGGATTACATTGCAAGATGGTTCACACGAGCATTACACCCCTCGAGCGCCATTGTGTCATGTCATGACCTGAAGTCCGCGCTCGGTCAACAAACCTGACTTTGGCCAGCAATGTGCTAGAATAAACATGACCAGGCGTCGTGGTGGTCAGTGTCCAGAAGAGCGAAAACCCTCTCGGGGATGTTTGGTGGGTGTATGTCAGGTTGCCTTAGGCTTTTAGTTGCAGATTCCTGTTGTGCTACATTTTTGTTCTGTAATAACATAGATGACATTTCACTTACACAAATGAAACAGAAGGAATCTTATTGCATTTGTGTACAAGCAATGTGGGCTGTTCTATATTGGACGAATAAAATGTGCCGTTGGGATACATTTGTACAAACTGATTTGGAAAAAAATTAAGCATGGCTGTACCATAGTGTGACAAGGCAGCTGTGTTATACTTTTCTTATCTACAAACATTTTTTACTGGTGTAACCGGGGTGAGGGGAAAATGGGCTCAGGCCAAGGTTGAACTAATCAACCCCACTTGCTGCGCAACCAAACGGCTACCAACTAAATCTAGGAGTCGGGTGAGACACTAGATTATGTTTGTAAGGGTTTATTTACAGTATGAGTTTATACACATGAGGATGTTCAAAATGAAATATAACTGATTCATGACAAGAGTAAGTTAAACATACATGTACAGTTCCATAGTTGTGACCAGCTCTAGAAAAATGGGTAATAAGTCGCCAGATTCAGGTTATGAGTTTTTAATATGGCTGGACTGTGTACATCAAAATCTACAATTTGATACATGAATGACCCCTGTAGTGCGCTGTGTTCCGGAGATGTATAGACTTTCGTATATCCACATTTTCGGATTTAGTAAAAGCACTTTTCGAGAAAAGCTCAGAAAGTGTAGCACTTGGAAACACAATGCTGTATAGGATTTCCTACTGAATGATCCATTTTTCATCGTTATTCATCAGTATCCATGTTTGCAGTCACAAATTCTGAAAATATAAATACATGTACATGTATTATAGAGGCTATTAAAGGAAAAAACACAAATCACATTTTTAAAGAAATTTTGTAGAGCAGGTCACATTTGGTTTGAATGAGGAATGAGTCAAAAATGACCAAAGTGGTTAAGGTATTGAATTGTACTAAATAAACTGATCAATGAGTCAAAAATGACCAAAGTGGTTAAGGTATTGAATTGTACTAAATAAACTGATCAATGAACAAATAAATGAACGGGTTAACAAATCTACAAATGAATCTGTAATGAACGAGTAGATGAAGCTGTAAATGAGCAAAGGGAATAAACTGAACTGTATAACTATGCCAGATCTGAAAGGACAAAAAGAAAATCATACTGGGACTTATAAATATGTTCAAAATAAATGCTGGCGAAGTAAATATTTGTCTCACGCTCATTTAATAGAAAACGTTCATTCTAATGGCATGAAAATACTCATTACATTAAAAACGAAGTAAATCAAAATATTATATAACTTTCTCACAAAGGCCTGTTGGGCTCTGTCTTCAAATCCCATCAAATCATGAAGGCTCTAGGCCAGTCTGGGTTAACAGGGTAGTAATAATCAGTGTGACCAGTCAAGTTTCCTTAATGCTTCCCCTCGTGATGGGTCCTGGCAAATAACGTCCACTTTCTCTCTATCTATCCAACGTTTCATAATGCCTCACCTGCTTGATTTCCCAGTGCCAAGTCTTCTTTTCTAGCACCCTCTTGTGGCCAACGTGACTTTTTGTGTAGAGCTTATAGCGACCCTTTCTATTGCGCGCCCTTTTCAAATGACATGTTCATAAATTATGCGCGGCATGTAAATGAACTGGTTCGTACCGGCTTTAGATGCTACACATTGTTATAAATAATAGAGGCTGCATTCTCATTGCACAGACGGAAGTTTTTCTTGTTGGAGCAGATCGCTGTCAGTTGACTTTCAAATCCTCCTTGCTTGCAGCAACAGGCACATTTTGTGATCTCTGCCGATTCTAAATCCATGATAGTTATTTGCATTTTCCTTTGGCAACGTGTACTTGAATCTATCTATCCTACTTTTGCCGTGAGGCCTTTGAACCGATATATTGCATGGCAAGAATGCAGAAGATCCTTGAGTAAGCGGATTTGCATCAGTTGCTTCATGCGAAATGAAGGGCTCTAAAGAATCCAGGAATTTCCGTGATAAAATTGACGAAGGATGTGGGATTTAAATACATGTAACTTAGTACATGGAATTTCTCCTTGTTTTGTGAAATGTGCAATGTACATGTACCTGCCTGTATTGTTGGCCCAGAAAGCTGTTGTCTCAGAAAATCTGTCGGTCAATCTTCATTTTTGTGTTCACTCATTTAAATTAATTTAGTCGTTCATGATTACGCTCAAGTGTACTGGATTTTTTGTTTTATTTCAGATCACCATACTTAATGGCATGGGCGTGACAGGACGTGTTGTTGAGAAGCCAGTGTGGCAACCTTTTACCCCGCAGAATGGCGACAAAATCGAGGTAATGTGAAACTTCACCAAATCATTTTGTGGCATTTTCAAGGCGATATAGCAGTGCCACTCACAGGTAAAGGGAAATAGATACTCTAAGCAAGTGCATTTGGGGGAGAGGGGGAGGGAACAAGTTCTTGTTCATTTTCTAAATTTTGTTTCGTTTACTGAACCTTGGACCAATTTAACCCCTACCTACATGTACACGTACATGTAAGTCGGTACTGCACATGTGTACACGTGAGATCGTGTGTTGATTTGTCCATGTACATCCATGTAAATGTACATGTAAGTCTCTGCGGTTTTGGATTCTGTCAGTAATGACACAGCGTCTTAATTCTGAAGTTGACACTTGTGTTGGGTCCTATATTTTACATTGACTATTTTCCAGTCAAGGGTGTCAGCAAAGAAAAGGACGTTAGAATTAATGTTGATTTGTTCAGCCAGTTTCACCTTTACCAAGTACCGTTCATCTGGTTGACCAGTACAAATTTACGAGGCTAAATGAGCTTTTAGAAAAGGCACAAACGTACTGAAAATGTCATTCAGCTGCTGATGCAGTTTGCCTCGAAATCCTGGTCTCCTTTTTTTCCCAGTTCATAATGCAAAATGTGACTGGATCCTACAAAATGAGTCTTAAGGCCATTTTTCCAGTACACATGTACATGTAATTCTATCCCAGCATGGATAAGGAAGAGCTATAGCCTTTTTCTTTGTGCTCGTCACTGAGTCTGTCTTCCTTGGGGGAATTGGAGACTACGTGGGCGACATACTATGAGGGCTTCCGTTGATTTACATTATGCATTAGTCTTTCCTAAGGCTGTAAAATCAAAGGTGGCTCTGGGGACTTGTGACTCATTTTGATAGGCTTGGTCACAAAGGTGGTGAATATATGATAATTGTAAGAGGATAATCTCTATATACCAGTTTTTGATATCGGGAGGATTATCCCCAGTTTAATATTCCGGCGGGATAAGGAATCTAATTCAGTTTAGCCCTGTGTTATTAATTTCTTTTCCTGTCTGCCAGGTGGCTTTGTCCTACTCCAACATTCTGTGGCCGTGGTCTGGTTTCCTGGCTGTCTCCATCACGGTGTCAAGCAGTGCAGCCTCCTGGCAGGGCATAGCACAAGGGCAAATAACACTCACCGTAGAGTCACCACCAGGGGTATGTTCTATCTGAATACATTTTTTGATGGACAGTGCATGAGCATAAGAGTACATTGTATGATGCTGTCTTTTGGAGACCGTGCGTATATGTACGTGTATGACCAATTTCTTACTAAATCTTCAAATCTTACTGTGGCCCCCCCCCCGGATCAACATTGTACTAGCTGCTTTGTGAAATTGTGACCTCTTTTCTTTAGGTCAGGTGTCAACATTGTACAGTGAATGTTAGGGTCCTCATTTTGAGTTAAAGAACCACTTCCCAATTGATAACTGCATGGAGTTCTGTTCTCTCATGCTTGGAGTAATGTGAATACACTCTCTTCAGTCCCACCTCATGCAGAGCGTGGACCGAAAAGTGGAAGTTCTGTCGAAACTTAAGGTTGTTGAAATAACGACAAGACTTTTTGGCTGTGCAGACGGGAGAGGACAAGCCGCGGCAGTCAGTTCTCAAGCTACCAGTGAAAGTACAGATCATCCCCACGCCCGCACGCAACAAACGTATCCTGTGGGACCAGTATCACAACCTACGCTACCCACCGGGGTACTTCCCGCGCGACAATCTACGCATGAAGAACGATCCCTTAGATTGGTAAGTTGGCATGTCATGTTAACCCTTTCGCTGAACACTGAGCACAACTCACACCTCGGAACAGTGTTGAGTTAAGTTTTCCTCCGTGAAGTATGACTTCCACATAAAAAGAATGTGCCTGATTAACATTTCCCGAAAAGAGAATAAAGGGACCTGCTCAGTTTTCTACACGGAAGTGATGGTATTGTTTGGCATGTGCTACCTTCAGGCCCTCAAAGTGAGGGGTGCAGTCCATTGTAAAATTGAATTTGTCCTTGTTTTTTTTCTTTCAGGAACGGGGACCACATCCACACCAATTTCAAAGCCATGTATGAACACTTGAGGGAAGCTGGGTTCTTCGTGGAGGTTCTTGGAGCACCGTTCACGTGCTTTGATGCCAAACAGTATGGTAAGACAGATGGTCACTTTGCGCCCTTCGTAGTGGTTGTTGTGTCCAGCCTAGCTTCCAGCAGGTCGTTACAAATGCAGATGGCACACAAGATGTTGAGATGCAGGCGGTCATGGAAGAGACAATGTGAGAGGTCATTCTGTCAAAAAATGGGAATTTTTATTTTTTAAATGCCTCTCTCAGGGGGTGATGTTGCCTCTTGAAGCCAAACCGATATTTCAGTTTGATGTATTTTTTTATGGTCAGCTATTTTGTTTGCCAATTTTTTAGTAATAAGGACAAAATTGGCAAAATATAGTACGCAGTACTAAGCAAGAAAGATGTTGTTGCATGCCCGTCATACCAGCATGCCTGTTTGTATCAATCTTTTCTGGCGACTCGATGGAGACAGAAAAGTTTATTCAAGTTTAACTTCACCGACTATCGCCATTTCTGTCTGTGTCAGTTGGGAAAGTCCCCGACGACATTTTATGTCAGTGTAGCATGGGGAGCCTTTTTATTAGCGGCGGTCCTGGCGATTATAATGATTATATTTAAGCTAGGTGTTATGTAAACCTGTGCGTGCATAACATAATCACCGCTGTCATGGCTGTCGACAGCTAATGTTTGCTCTGTTATTTCACACAAATTGGTTAGTAATTTAGGCAAATGCTTCCTTGCCACTGTTGGATTATTGCTGACTTTTGATTGAAGACGGAGCCAACCTGTTAGCTCTAGTTGACAGGTTTTATTCTGAAGGGTGTGGGTTGCCCTGGTCAAAAATGGCCCCCTGATGTTTGAGCTCTTGCGGAAACCTTTACATCTACTGGCCCTTGCCGCTATGACCGGAAAAAAGAACTTGTTTCACGAAGCCTAATATTGCAGGCTTCTTGTTACTATCCATTCATGAACCGTGTTCAGACGCGCACCTCTTGTGCAGATTTCTAGCATTTAAATTCCTTCCACAATAGCCCACTGTACAATCTGTGCGGTCAAGTAATTTAGGTCTTTTTCCCCAGCTGAGGGTCCCACAGAAATGTTGTGGAGGATGGCTTCAGTAGCAGCATGGTCAGTAACAAACTGGTGAACACAAAGGTGGCCATTCACTGTCACACAGGCAACAAATACTTTCTACCCATTTGGCATGCCTCCTCATTCATCCCTCTCCTGAGTGGCGCCAGTCCCTGGCCACCCGTAAAGCTACCCCTATTAAATTCCTTTTTTTTTTTCTGTACGATTTGGCCTGGGCACTCAAACGTCCGCTCACCACAGCACCGTGTACGGTACTTCTTTTGATATCCCCGGAGAAAGAAAAATGGCATTTATATCCTGCACAGTGTTGGATTTCAAAACTGATTCGTCAGTAGACAGTTTAAGCTCTTCCTAATGGTCGAGAGCCCGTCACATGGCCGGTCTTAAACTAGTGATGAATCACCAGCTGGTTCATCGCATTCAGTGGCAATCTAAGGAGATTTGAATGCGGCTCGTTGCAGCCGGCACATACATGTACTGTTGCAAGGCTGGAGGGTTTATTAAATAAAAATGAATTCAAGTGTTGAACAAATGGTCAAAGATTTTTTACTTAAGGCATTTACGAATGGTTGCAGCTTGGGCATCAGTCGCATCCATTCTCCTGAGCCAGTCTAAGACCAGCCAAGTACATATTCGTTCCTTTATTTCACAAACAATTTTTAATGAAAATATCAAAACGTTTAGCTGTACAGATCTGATCCGTGTCACAGACATCATACAACAAAAAATCTGGCTCTAGTTAATAAGATTTCTGAATGCCGTAATAAAGATTGTAATCTTGTCTGGGCTTGATGATTTTCCCATACTGATTGCTTTGACATTTCCACCCCTACTTACCACTTGGCCCCCACTCTAGGTTCAGTGGCATAGCTTTTGAAAACTGGAGTGTGTGGAGATAAATTGAAGAGGCAATAATTCATGACACACAAGCGAATCGATGTTGACTCTTGGGCTGTGTAGTGGTTCCCGCAGAATAAAAGGATCTTCATCCCTCATACCTTTCCCATACTACATTATCTATAAGGGTAATTCAAGAAACTAGGGGCCTGTTTTTTTCATGTCCCTGTCACATCTGACATATGATTTAAGTTGAGAACACATTTTCTAATTTCCAAGAGTGATGAATTTATGCAAATTGCATGCCAAACAAATAGTAATAATTTGAAATCAATTCTTGTGATATTTCCCTGTCAAATAACCAAGGTTTGATGTAACATTTTGATGACACAAAAATGTCACACTATTGGACCCCTGATTTCTGGAATTACCCAAAATTCAGTTTAAATTATCTGGATGTCTTTTTTCCATCTACCTAATTGCCCTCATTTTTATATCACACTGTTTATTCTCTGAACTTTACTGGTACCGGCGCAAGTACATTCACTGTATAATATTGTTTTTTAGTTATTGGTTACCTGTGTTTTGTCTGTGTTTATTTTGTATTTCTTCATTGGTTTCCTGTTTGTTTGGGATTTACCTGTGTATTGTGGTGATCATTGCTTACCTTACACAAGCTTTTGCTTTTGTAAGTTTCGCCACCTCTTCTCAAATTAATCTTCGGATATGTATTTTGTATGTTTTATGCAATAAGCCTGACCATGAAGAGGAAGTAAATGTCACTGGTTCCATATTCAGCATTTCATTTTTCTTTTTCTCCGTCTTGTAGCCTCATTTCTTCCCTCCATTTTGATTTTCGTCCAGGGACTCTCCTAATTGTCGATCCGGAGGAGGAGTTTTACCCGGAGGAAGTGTCCAAGCTGAAGCGTGACGTTGATCAAGGGTTGTCCGTCATCATCTTTGCCGACTGGTACAACGTGACCGTCATGAAGAAGGTTAAATTCTATGACGAGAACACAAGGTATACGGGGGAACTCATGTCGGATGTGGTGGCATTAGTTTAAATAAGCCATGCCGCCATATCCAAATCAACAGGCTGCAGCTAAGAGTTCTGTGCATGTCTACTGAAAGTGGCTAGCCATTGGCAATGATGGGTTGTGCTGTGCCTGTCGTCACTTTCTACAGCCATAACGTTTGGTTACTGCCCATCTCTCACTCAGAACCGAGTCGTACAATAGCTTGGCATGTCACTGTCATTAAACAAAGTGCCAGAGTAATCCTTGTCATCTCATTGGCAGGCTGTTGATCACATGTCATCTAGTTATTTAGTTTTCAAAACTCCGGCACGGTCATGCCCCCCTCCATAAAAAGACATTTGATTCCACTGTTGATGTATCCATTAAACTTCTGTCTATCCGTTGCATGGTCCCACTGTTAGTGCTGCTGTTAACAAGGCTTTTTAAAAAATATACAATGCGGGATCCATTCAACATGGATTCTTTCAAGATTTATTCTGCTGTTTTATTTATAGAACAAATAACAAATGTTTGACGTGCATGCCGTAGACGAGATTAATTCCTTCCAGTGACAGATGAATTGTTGCATGGAATGACACCTCATGAACTTAGCTGTATACTTAGCTACTACCGTTTACTTTTACTCTACCGTTTGTTATTGACCTCGTCCACGACCTCCGTTGTAGGGTTGCTTTGATTCAACTAATAATTGGTGCACAAACAGGCGCCGCAATCGTTTCGTGGAACATTCCAATTTTTCCGGGCTTCGTCACAGGAAAATGAAGTACTCTAGTGAATTACTTCTCTAAGTCAGATTTATTGTACCAATCAACAGAGTCGACACTTGTCTGATGGAGTTTTGCATCATCTCAGCTTTTATTCAGTGCGTTTTACTCATTAACTTCCAGTTAGTGAACCAACATTTTTTGCTCCTCTTCAGGCAATGGTGGATGCCGGATACCGGTGGCAGCAATGTCCCGGCCATTAATGATCTGCTGGCTCCATTCGGCATGGCGTTTGGGGACGGTGTCTACGAAGGGGAGTTGTCGCTCGCCGATCACAAAGGTACGGTCCACCAGTGTATCTGAAGTCAATGAGTTCAGATTGAAAGTCTCTTTGCCATCGTTAGATCGTTTTGTCTCTCGTTGCCAGCTTTTATGCATCAGTGTTGTGTCGTCAAGACCCCTTACGATCATCACAAAGACCCTACACGGTTACCACAAGACTAGCACAAGACCGCCAGTCTGAATTTAAATGAATTGCAGCAAAAAAAGTTCCTTTACTATTGCGCATTTTACTTGTGACTGGCCCTGTGTCTTGTCTTTACGAAGCTCTAGGCAATGGTACTATTGTGTGGGGAACCTCCTGGTCATGGAATGTAGGTCAGTAGCTAT